AGAGCATCTCTTGGATTTCAACTCAAGAGGAGGCAGAGTTCTGGCTACCAGATTCCGACTAGCCATTCTGAATACTCCAAGAAGCCAGGCCTTGTGACTTCCATGGGAAGCTTTGCCTCCTTCCCCCCACTACAATGGTCTGCTAGTGTCCTGGGGCCACCTGGGCTTGTGATCCTCAGCCTGCCTTGCGGATAGAGGGGATCTGGTGAGAACAGCTGTCTTTCCTGCAGGAGAAGGGCAGCAGTGACTGTGAGAAAAAGGTGCCCAAGTTCAGAGCAGCAGAGACCAACAAAGGCTGTGTAATGAAGATGTCATCAGTAAAGGGCGGGGCAGAAGGCAAGGTTACTAAGGAACAGGTGCCAAGGGACTCTCATATGCTTCACACCTTTGAATAAGGTGGATTGCTTTTCCCTTGGTAGTTTGATCTACTGCTTACAAAAAACCCTGACCCCTCCCCGCCCGCTACCAAAATGAGCCTTTGGCTTATACTGCTGTTGCAGTTAGTACAGGCAACACCTCCTCAGGAGTGGGACCAGAACTTGGTCCAGCTGACTCCTGAGGCCTGGTCTACCCAATCTATGGGTAGACTAGATGAGTTGCTCAGTGCGCTGACAACTGAAACAGACCCCAGTGGCTTTGATGACCTGGGGTCTACAAATGTTCTAGATGACAATGTCGTCTATCCTGGTGGCTTCCCGATGGAATTAGAGGAACACCCAGGTGAGCTCCTGGAGCCCTTTGATGGGGCAGAACCATCTGAACTTCAGCCAGAGGACATACCTCAAAGCCCCGAGACTCTTGAGGAGGGCCAGCCTTCGTTGCTCCAAAAAGAAGGCCTAGCCCAGGTTCCACAGCCTCTCAAGGAGACTACACCTTCTCCAATGCTGCAGGGGTCTCCAATTCAGATCTCTGCTGCTGAAGAAGCTGTCCGGCAGCTTGTTCAAAACGAGATCAGTGTTCCACGTCCACCGCTGCAATCTACTTTGCCAAGCATCACAGGGAGGCCAGCGGATGTGATGCTCACAATTACGCTACAGCCAGGTGGTGAAGTTCAAAGTACTCTGGGCCAGCTGCAGGCCCCAGTTCAGCCTGCAGGGATCTCGCAAGGGGAATCCCCTCCCTCAATCCCACAAGAGGCTCCAGCTCAGACTCCAGGCCCTTCTGTAGACCTAGAGCCTTTCCCGAGTAATCAAGAGGAGTCTGCTCAGTATGCTGAGCCTTCAGTGGAGGTGGAACCTCTAGGCCAGCAGGTGGCCCCAATTCCTCCCGCTCCAGGCCCATCTGTGGGAACAGAATCTCTTCCAGGCCACCAGGTGACCCCAGTTCAGAGTGCACGTCCTTCTGTGGAGGTCACATCTCCTCCCACCCAGCTGGAACAGCCAACTCAGGATGCTGAGCCTTCGTTGGAGGCAGAACCTTCTCCAGGCCAGCAGGAACAGTTTGCTCAGCCATCCGAGTCCATTGGACCTGCTGAATCTCCTAAAGGCCAGCCTGGGGAGGACACAGTTCAGCCTCCAGAGCACCAGGAGGAAATATTCGTAGCTTCAGCTCACCACCACTGGCAACAACACATGGACTTACCCAGTATGCCTGCTAAACCTGCACGTTTGCAGAGTACAATGCAAGCAGATACAGAAGATGGCTTGCCAATAAAGCACAATGCTGAAGCTCAGCCTGAGGCCCCAGCTGCGCCTCCAGAAGCTTTTGAAGAGGTTGAGTCTATTTCTTCGTCAGAAATACCTCAGGAAGAGGAACCCTCATCTGAGGAAATCAGACTGTCTCCAGCCCAGCAGGAAGCTCCAGCTCCGGTGTCAGAGACCAAAGAAGTGAAATCTCCACCTGCAGAGTCTCATGAGGCGACAGTTCCTCCTGAAGGTCAGTCTCCAACATTGCCGAGTGTGTCTGTTAACCCTGCAGAGACCATGACCGAGGCTATAACTTTCAAGCCAACAGGAAGTTGCAGCTCAGGCCTCGGGGAACAATGAGCTGGACCTGACACTCCTGAAAGGAGGTGACCACTCAACAGTTTCCACAAGTATGGATAAGTCAGTAGATCCTGAGGTCACCTTCACTTCACCTTCAGAGGTTGAGCCTTACCCAGCCTTACCTTCTGCAGCTGAGCCAGAGGCCATGGATGAGACTGCAGCTTCCCCTAAGGAGATAGAGCCTATCCCTACAGGATGGGAATCTCCAGCTGAACCCCTGGAGGCCCTTCCGATCACCCTTCCATCTCCACCACGGCTGAAAGTGTCCGCTCAACATCCGGAAATGACTGTGGGTTCCAAAACCCAACCCCGAGTATATTACCTGACTCCATCTCCTACTACAGAGGGTGTCCATTTCATCGAGGAGCCCCTAACCCAACCTCGAGAGCCACCTCAAAAATTTTACCTCCATTAAAAGGGCATGAGGAGGGCCCGGCACGGTGGCGCAAGTAGTTAAAGGTCCTCGCCTTGCACGCCCGGGATCCCATATGGGCGCCGGTTCTAATCCCGGCAGCCCCGCTTCCCTTCCAGCTCCCTGCCTGTGGCCTGGGAAGGCAGTCGAGGACAGCCCAAAGCTTTGGGACCCTGCACCCATGTGGGAGACCCGGAAGAGGCTCCTGGCTTCAGATCGGCATTGTATCGGCCCGTTGTGCTCACTTGGGGAGTGAATCATCGGACGGAAGATCTTCCTCTCTGTCTCTCCTCTCTGTATATCCGCCTTTCCAATGAAAAAATAATAAAAATAAATCTTTAAAAAAAAAAAGGGGGGGGCATGAGGAGGCATGAAGGAAAGATAACATTAAGGGAGATCGTTAAGAAAAAAGGAACCATAAAAAGAGATATGACCAGGCTTAAATATAGATGTGAAAATGATGTGGGGGTGGTGCTGTGCACAGCGCCTTAAGCTGCTACCTACAGTGTTGGAGTTCCACATGGGCGCTGGTTCAAGTCCTGACTACTCCACCTTCAATGCTTCCACTATTGTAGGTCTGGGGAAAGCAGCCGAGGATGGCCCAAGAGCTTGGGCCCCTCACCCACATGGGATGCCTGAAGGAAGTTCTTGACCCCTCAATTCTCACTTTGGGTCAGCCCAGCTCTGGAATTTGTGGTCATTTGGAAAGTTACCCAGCAGACAGAAGATTTTCCTATGTCACTTCTTTAGTCTGTGTCACTTTGCCTTTCAAATAAAACACTCATTAAAAATAATACATGGAAAATAAATATCAGGATATGTTGTTGTGGTACAGTAGGCTAAGCCAGCACTTGCAATGCAGGTTTGGATCCTGGCTGCTCTGTTTCTGATCAGGCTCCCTGCTGATGCACCTGGAAAGGCAGCAAATGATGGTCCTTGGTCCTTGAGCCTTGGACACTGCCACCAGGCTCCTGGCTTCAGCCTGACCATTTGGGAAGTGAGCAGGTGGGGGGAAGATTTCGCTCTGACCCTCCATCTCTCTCTGTCACTCTTTCAAATAAACAACTCTTTACAAACACTGAGGAAGGAAACAAAAACTTGATCAAGAATAAAATTATCACAAAAAATGGATCTGCTTACAGACCAGGTTAAAAATTTATCAAGATGCAACACACTTTAACACAAAGGCAGCATTACCCAACAGAACTCAAGTGACACAGCCAGAGCTGTATTCAGAGTTACTTCTCAGAAAATATTTGCCCATTTCCCCAGAAATGCAAATACACAGTGAGTGCGTCACACAGTCTCAGACACTGCCCGTTGCTCTAGCAGTGTCCACGAGCCTCGGCGCTCCATCGAGGAGAGTTTATGACAGCTCTGCTATTGAAGGTCAGGGTCCAGCATGTGCCTGGCTCTGGGGAGGCCTTCTGGTAGCACCTCAGCTGGCAGAGGTGTCCTGCTGGTAGGGAGCAGGGTGGTATGTCAGTGGGCAGGGTATCTGGCAGAGCAGGTGGCCAGAGCGATGAAGGAGTGGGCTGCTCTCTGGATGGGAGCTGCCCTCACAGGAGCCACCTCAGCAGGCTCAGAATGGCATCAATGCAGCCCAACAGTGCTGCCCACAACCTCACCACCTCCCTGAGCACCAGAAAGTGCTTAAAGGCTCCACCACCTCAGCACTGCCACCCTGGGGCCGAGCCTCCAACACCCTGTAAGGCAGGATGGTGCGGGATGAGGGAGTGGCAGTTTACAACCAGAATATATCCAAACCACAGCACCTGGCCATTCTACTCCTAGGCACACACCAAAAGAATGGAAAACTTGTGCTACTGCAGACAGGTGCGCAATGGGATGGAGAGATTGTTGACAATCTCCAAAATCGGCAGCAGCAGCTCAACAGACGGCCAGATACACAGCAGGTGGTCTGTTGGCAGTGGAATAGTGCACAGCATAACCATGAATGAGGTGCTGGCTCAGGCTGTGACATTAACAGACCTTGAAAATGTCATGCTGAGTGGAGGATCCCAGACTGGGAAGAGGGCACATGTGGCAGGAGTCAAGTGCATTCACGCGACATTTCCAGAACAGGGCACTCCAAAGAGATGAGACAGTGGAAGGGGAAGCCACGGGCTGGTGTCAGGGGAGGAGAGGGCCCACTGCTGGGTCTGGAATTCTTTTTGAGGAGATGACCACATCATGGAGTGAGACGGGAGATTGCTGCTCAGCTTCGTTAGTACACTAACGGCCACTGCACTCTCGGAAGAGGGAACTGTGCGGCAGCACGTGCGTGACACCTCTGCTTCCAGAAGCAGACAGAAATCCTTTCTTCACCTTCGACTTGCTCAGTTACTGTCTGAAAGGCAGGCGGTTAGCACAGTGTCTTAGAGAAGATAGCAAGTGGCAATCCCAGGGAGGTAAGAGGAAGTGATTACAGGATCACCCGCAATTGTTCTGGCCTGTACTGTGTCTTGACCTAGAAGGAGGTGGTCTTTGCTGCTTCTGCACATTTGCTATGTTTATGTGGGTCGGTGAGGCATCAGGTGGTGCTGGGGGTTGGCATCTCTCCGAAGATAGTAATTCCCCACCAAATGTCAGGACTCTAATTCTGTACCCACTCTGTGAGGTGGAGCTGTCATTCTTCTTAACTGACAAAGAGAATTGATGAGGTCCGGTAACACCCTGGATTGGCATGTGCAAGAGCCAGACTTTGTGGGAAGCTATCGCAGCATCTCCCTTCCAGGGGAAGGACTGAGAGCTGGAAGTGTCTGTGAGAGATGACATGTGTCAGTCTGATCACTGAGTAGCAGTTGCCAGAGTCTCAAATCTAGACGTCTTACTTCACGTGCTCAGAAGTCCTAGGACAGGAGTTGGGAACTGACCTGGTTTTCATTCTTCCACCTTTCTGCCCATCTAGGGGACACTGGCAAGGATGCAGTGAATTGCACCTACAAGGATGAGGATGACTGTGTGGTCAGATTCCAGTACTACGAAGGCTCCAGTGGCAAGTCCATCCTGTGTGTGGTAGAAGAGCCAGGTGAGGCCCTGCTCCTGCCCCGGGGAGAGGGAGTCACATCAGGCAGGGATTTCCACTCATATCCCTCTTAGGTAGAGCAGGGTAAGCCTGACCTTGTAGAGCTGAGTTACTGTGTCATCTGGGTGAGGGGGATATGTAAAAGTGACGTTTACTCATTGAGGAAAGAGCAAAAATAAGCTGCGTAGGAAGGGTAGGGAGGTAGGTATGGATTTCATCTAGGTCCAAGGAGTTAAAAATTGAAATTCTACACTTTACAGCGCATGTCAAGTGAGGCGGCTGCCAGGAGCTGTTTGTCCCTCCAGGGGAAGGCCGGATGGTTGGAGGGTGGTTGGAGGCATTGCTCTTCACAGGCTCACCACGGGACGTAGTCATGGGTTGGAGGCATTGACTCAGTTTTGTCCTGGATGACTTGCTGCTGCAGCAGACCCCTCCTCCGTTGTAGGGAAGGGGACCCCAGATCCCCAGGCTCACATTGCTATTTCATCGCCTTGCTCTTTCCCTGGCTTGAAGTAGAATGCAGTGGCCAGGGACCCAGAGCTTAGGAGGAAAGTGTTCTCTTTCTCTTCTTCAACACTTACTAAGATGCTCCCCACCGAAGGGCTGAGCCACTGCAGGGCAGCAAGAGGGCATCACCAAGGGGTTTAACATTGGCTGGTGTGGAACGGGCTCGTGGCCTAGAGACTCATCACTTCTAGATAGAGTTGCCGGGTAAAACATAGTATGTAGCATGTAATATATGCTATCTACTTAGGTTACAAAGTAGTTTGTTGTCTGTCTGAGTATGGATTTATCCGGCTGTCTGTACTTTTGTTTGCTGAATTAACCCTAGTCTTCTCTGACCTTGGGCCACTCATCATGAGCCCACTGCTCTGGCTGAGGGTGTTCCCCGGAGACTGCCTGATCTTGTCGCTGCTTTAGGGAGTCTGCCACTTAGCCCTTGGAGGGCAAATGGCTAACAGTTTTCCTGCAAAGACCTCCTGAGGTTCTGCCTGTCCTGGGGGCTGCCCTACCCCAATCTCCTGGAGACTTCACAATGTTTTTTTTTTCCATTAGAACTGGGGCCCTTCATTCCAGGGAACACACTTGGTTCCTTAGCTCCTCTCTCCAGGAACTCCATTTGTTAGAGGCAGGTTATAATTTGGAGGGTTGGGAAGCTGCCACCTTGGGTTTGTGGTGGTGGTTGTTTTTGAGTGGTGTCTGGCAAGCACAGTGTGTATGTTTAGAGAAGAAGGTGGGAGGGCCCGGCGCGGTGGCGCAAGTGGTTAAAGGTCCTCGCCTTGCACGCCCGGGATCCCATATGGGCGCCGGTTCTAATCCCGGCAGCCCCGCTTCCCTTCCAGCTCCCTGCCTGTGGCCTGGGAAAGCAGTCGAGGACAGCCCAAAGCTTTGGGAACCTGCACCCGCGTGGGAGACCCGGAAGAGGCTCCTGGCTTCGGATAGGCATAGTATCGGCCCGTTGCGCTCACTTGGGGAGTGAATCATCGGACGGAAGACCTTCCTCTCTGTCTCTCCTCTCTGTATATCCGCCTTTCCAATGAAAAAATAATAAAAATAAATCTTTAAAAAAAAAGAAGAAGGTGGGAGATGGTGTGGGCTGTGGGGATGACTTCCTTTCCCGGTACATCACTCCTCACACATACAAACACCTGCTTTCATCCACTTGAGGCTGCCAGAGTGGGTCACTTGCCCACCACTGGAGGCTCCTGGGAAGGTCTCTGCAAGACACACCCAGATTGACCCTTGGTGGCTGACATATGCCTGTTTGTGTTGGGTGCTGACCAGGGTCAAACAGAAGTCAGCTTTCAACAGAGCTGGGGTTTTAGATAACCAAAATGTCTGAGAAAGAACCCAAAATATTGTTATAGCCAGGAGGCCTGTTCTCTGAGAATGCTGAAAAAGTTGCTAGGTTAGCAGCCCTCATCAACGTCAGCATCTGAACCAGGGTGGCACCCACGAGGAACACCTATAATAATACTGGCTGGCTCTTTGAGCATTCATTCTGTGTCAGGCGCTGTTCTGAGTTTCTTAAATGGAGTGAACTTAGCCATTCCTTGTATGACAAAGTCGAAAGGTCAGTGCTATTACTTTTCTGTTTTAATGATAGAGAAATAGGAAACAAAAGCCCAGAAGAAAAGGCCCAGTAATTTCCCAGAGGTCATGCAGCGCAGAAGCAATAAGCCAGGACTCAGACCCAGGCATCTGTGCCTTCACTCCCCTCGTGTGAATGTGTCTGGCCATGGTCACCTGTTGTCAGCAGCAAGAAGGCAAGGTCGCTGGAGAGGGAGCCAGAGGAAGCCTTGTGCCTGGTGTCTGAGGCAGGACGGTGCAGGATGTGTCTGAGGCAGGCACTTCCACAGGGGCCAGCTGCATGGAGACCGTCTCCCAGCCGTGGGCTCTGACTGGGTGCTGGGCAGTTGGCCACTGGGGAGACAAGGAACAACCCTAAACAGTGACTGCTTTTTCATACTCAGGACTCTTCTGATGACACTCTTTTTAAAAATCACTTTTTTCTTCCTTTCTGTTGCTGCCATTTCATAGACTTAAGCTTGGGTTAATTTTTCTTCCTATGTGGTAACCAAATCTTGGTGATTCCGAGCCTAAACTGCTGGGGATGTATGTCTGTACACTGACACTCAGTTTCCTGGTAACAAAAGCATTCTCTTCCTTTCTGACAGAACCAGAACCAACGACAGGGAATCCCAAAGCGGAATTCCTGAAGATACTGCAGGCCCGGGAGAGGAACAGCAATGGAATTAATTATTAATTCAGAGGTGGAAAAATCAGAGAAACATAAGCTTGATCTTCTAGACTCTATGAATGAGCAGCTAGACTTGAATGCAAAAGGTGTTGTTATCAGTTTGCTAAATTACATACCGCGTTATTTCTCAGCCAGCGATCTAGAAGACGTAGAGTCAGTGTTACTACCCTTCATTAAATTGCTCTTTTCCAGTCCACAAGAAGAAGATAGATCTGTGGATCACTTGAAAAACAATCCACAAGACTTCTCTGTAAAACTTAACAAACATCAATTCAGAAAGATCCACTTTCTGGAAAATTTGATAAACTCTTGCAATTGAACAAAAACTGGATGATGAGGTTAAAAACACCAAAAAAGCTGTCGTGCTGATGCAGCCTCCGTTAGATCTGAAAGCAAAACGACTATTCTTCCTAAGAAAGTTAGAAAGTACCGGATCACAGCACATCAGCCGGGGGCCAAAGGGCCTGAGGAAAAGGCAGCAGCAGGAGACAATCGGGAGGAGAGAGAACGCGCGCCCCCTTGTGGAGGGCACCGTGCAAGGCCGGCTGGGGAGCGCAGGAGCTTCATGTGGCCCAGAGGCCCTGGCACCTGGGGGCCAACTCCTTCTACCCAGAGCCCCCACTCACAGAGAGCCTCCCTCTTTCCTGAAGAAGTACATCGCGGGCAGGCCATCTGCTGCGGCCCGTGCAAAGTGTCTCCCTGAGCCAGAGAAAAGGCTAATTGACATATTTATAGCAAAAATGCGAGCAAAAAAGGCAGAGACAGCAGAACCAAACACAGATTGCCATTTCAATAACATTGATCTTGCTCCCGTGTTCAAAACCCCCAAAGCCAAACGGAGACTGAAGTTGAGAAGGAAGAATTCCCTCAAAACATGGAACTCTGTAAAGAGGCCTGCATTCCTTGCCCTACAAAGTCTCATCGATTCCCCTCCCCGAGAGCCTTCTCCCTCTTCTGGAGACCCGAGTTCTCAGGATTTTCCTTCTCCAGAAGCGATGGCTCTTCCAGTACCTCCTGCAGAAGACATTCTTGAAGCCAGCCTTGCTGCAGCAAATAACTTAGGAAACACTGTGCCAGAAGAATCTCCCCCTGCCAGCACAGCCCAGGGGCATCCATTGGCCACTGGTTCCCCTGAGATTGCCCCCACAGTGGCAGACAAATGCAATGGGGGAACCCTAACATGGGCAGGGGCATCCATCCCCTCCATGCCTACAGGCAGTACTTACCCCTTGCAGTCATCCCCAGGGCACCAATGAAGCAGCTGAACCAGCAGCTTCGGTCCCTCATCCCCAATAATGACGTGAGAAACTTCATTTCAGATAGTCATCAGGACTCTGCAGATGGACTGTGCGGACCCCCAGGTGCAGCTGGCCTGTGCCAAGCTCATCTCCAGAACGGGCTTCCTCATGAAGCTCCTCAGTGAGCAGCAGCAAGTGAAGGCCAAGGCAGAATGGGACACAGACCGCTGGAAAGAAGAGGACTACATCAGCGAGAGCCCAGGAGGCCAGACTGATGCAGGAATGATCGAGCCAAGTGAGGTGAGGACGGCCACGAGACAGGAGAGCTGCCCTTTCCCTTCGTTTAGGAAGTGTCATTAAAGCACCAAGGAGGAAGAACAGGGGCTCCCAGTCCATATCTTGCATTGGGCACATAACTTTGGCCAAGCTGGCAATTTCCCACTTTGCTCCTTTAGAGAATGAAGCAGACCCGACAAGCTAGATGAACTGTAGAGTACCCGTGTGATAATCAGATCGTGTAACATTGGATCTTACGTGGTCTTGAAGATCCTACAAGCCACTCACCTGGAAGAATACGGGCTGGAATAGTTAAGTGTTCATGCTCTCTTTATTTGATCTCTTTTCATTGCTCTTTTAGCTCAAAGAAGTCCCAAGATACAGCCTTACCAAAATACTCATCATGGCAATATCTGTCACTGTAGCAGTGGTGATCTTAATAACGGGAGCCTGTCTCGTTGGGGTAAGGACAACGATTCACTTAGGTTTCTAGAACATCCTTTTTCTTTTCTTTTTTATTTATTTATTTTGACAATCTTTACATAGTTAGGGTAAGAAGGTTCAAGGGCTACAGGAAAGTGGATAAGACTACTATTTTTTCCCTATTGTTAGCTTCATGTTTAAAGGGGGGGTATTAAGGGAGAAGGCCCACCCAATTTCCCACCCTCCCCAGGTCCCGGATATAGGGCATGTTCTGAGATTCTTGCTTAGGTGGTTTTGATATTTCAACAGTTATGAATCGCTGCCAATCTTGCCACTCCAAGCACTATGAGGTCTTTGAAAAATCCACTGATTGACATAGTCCATCATAGTTGAGATGGTTTTTTGACCTGTTCTGTCTTCTCTCTTTTCTTGGTAAGGGTTCTGAGTCCAGCATTTAGATTAGGAAGATCTCCAAAGAAACTTCTTGTATGTGCTAGCAAGTACAGGGCCCGGCACAGTCCATCGCCCTAATCAGCTGGTGGTTGCAATTGCTGGGTTGGTTCTGTTTTCACTCCCGACTTCCACTGGAACCATTGGGTGTTGCAGTCCAGCCTCGTTCTGCCCAGCACATACTTGGCCCTCACATAAACCAGTGGGAGCTGCAGCCTAGTTGGAGCGACCCACACTAACCCCCACCAGGCCCGCCCCTTACCCTGGTTTGCCAGTATGTGTAGCAGTAATCCAGTCTGTCCCACACCCCATTCTACCCCAGCCGCTGTCTTAGTTTTATGTCCTCCCATGGAAGTGGTAACCCAAGAGGGAGGAGCCCACTATTTCCCTCCCAGGCCTCTCCCACTCCCAGATTCCAGCTGATGCTGCAGCTAAGCCCAAACAACCCTCGCCCACTCTAATTTTGTTTGCACCAGTAGGAATAATCCGCCAAGCCCGGCTTTTCCCTGATCTAGTCCACATGGGGCGCACAAGTGTGGTAGCCCTACCTAATCTGGTCTGCCCCCATCCCAGCCTCCGCTCTCCTGAGGGAGTAGCTGTCCAGCAAAGGAACCCTCCCTTATTCCCCTGCCGGCTCTGCCCATTTCTTTCCTTGTTCTCAGGCTGGTTGGGTGCTGCGGTCCCTTCCGGTATGGGCAACCTCACCCTGGCATTCCATATTGTGCACTAAGTCATTGTTGCAACCAAACCTGGCTCGACACACACACTGGTGCTTCGATTTGCCAGTGGATGATGTGAACAGATTCAGCCTGGTCTTCCCCAACCCCTGCCAATTGTATGCCAGTGGGTAACTTTCCATGGCCTATTCTGGGCTGTTTCCTATCATATTTCTTGCGCTTACCTGCCGGGTCTGTGTCCTGCCAGAGGAGTTGCCCAGGCTCCTCCATCAGAACCTCTCCCAATGCCAGGTTTCATGCTTACCAGTGGGTCCGTGAGCCAGCCCTACTCAGTCCACCTCCTGTCATAGCAGGAACTGTGGCTTTTCCTGACTGGCCTTCAACCCAAGCTGGTTCTTGCTGTTGGATGTTTCAGCCCAGCCATGGTTTATCCATACCCACATACGGCTCACACATGGCTCAGTAGGAGGGAAGGAGTGGCGGGAGGAGGGGCAAAATATGCATTTCCCCCCCCATTCCTAGGGGTGCTAAACCTCCTGCATTTTCCTAGGTGGGCTTCTTGGTGAGGTGGCTGCACTGGCTGAGGGGTGAGCGCAAACCCCGCCGGGCAATGAGCCAGAAACAATTGGTTCAAAAGTTACATAATGAAACCTCTGACAAGGAAGCAATCTTCATGAGAGGGGCAAGGTAAATGACAGACTGCCTTCCCCACGTTACCTAACGGGAGCAAACGGGGCGGGCAGAGAGGAAAAGTGGCCTGTTCTGTTCCCCACAGCATGAGCGAAGGCCCGGGCGAGAGGGCGGCCGCTGAGTCGACTGCCGAAGGAGAAAGCGAAGCCCTCGAGGAGGTGCTCACCGAGTGAGCCCTTTTGCTGCGGCTCCTCCATGGCTTATAAAAATACTTCCCTTCTAATACTCGTGTGTGTGATATTCATAAGTCATCCCAGCCAAGATGATAAGAAACGAAAGTCTAAGTTTTATACAAACCACAAGGCCACAGGCAAGAAAGGCTGGTCTGCATCTAGAAGCCTCCGAGGTAGAAAAATCCTCCCGTGGCGGCACCATGGGCACAGGACGAACAGGGGTCCCACCACATGCCCCCAACAGTCAGGTTCTAGGACATGAACATGTCAAACACCGGGCATTCCAGTGCCTTCTCCCCTGGCTTATTTAAGAACCAGTCATTTACCACAGAAGACCTGCCACACGCCCCTCTGAGGTCTTTCAGGTTGCCTGGATATTTGGATGTTGAAGCCCCGAGTCCTGTGGCGACCTGTCCTGCCTTTTCCCCAAGCCCACAGCCTCAAATGTGAATGTGTGTCATGCTGTCGGAAGGGGCACCTGTCCTTACAAATCTCCTCCTTCTGGCCTCCCTTCCCCTGTTCCTGCCCCACTAAGGCTCCCAGGTGCGGTTCTCTCTCTCTCCCTCTCTCTCTCTCTCCCTCTCCCTCTCTCCCTTTCCTCTTGGCCTCCTCTTCCTTGCTCTTCCCCTCTCTCCTCCTTCTGGCCTCCCTTCCTCCCCTTCCCCTTCCCCCTTTTCCCGCCCCGCTGGAATAAACTTCCCAAGATATCTCGTTGCGTCTGGTGTTTTCAGCTCACGGTAAAGAACCAGGTTGCGGGAATTAGCTGCGCGTAAAGTATCGTCATATCCTATGAGCTAGAACTCGCACCCTTTTTAAATAACTAACAGCCAGTACATCAGCAGCCGCTGCCAGCAGCTATCGTGGTGACAGTGATCGAGGTCGCAGATCAGACTGCCAGTTATGGAACACAGAACTTTACTATGAACATGAGGGGTGGGCACGCTTGCGCTGTAATTGTGGGTTGACTTGTTGGCATAGATCAGCAGATGCTGTGAGATTTGGTCTAGGCCTCCTGTACTCCATCATATGCCTCTTTGTGTGTAACTCCTGTGAAGTGCAAAATGTTTTTCCAGGCCCGGGAATTGCTGTCTGTGCATTGCTATCAAACTGATATTCCTATGATCAGGGCCTCTTGTCCCCCATTATGCCTCTATGTATGTTTCACCTGCGTAGTGCTTTGTTTTCCCAAGCCCGAGAATTGCTGTCTGCTCATTGCTACTGAGGTAAAAACACTCCCAGCCATGCAACAGGGTAACCACCCCTCCCGAAGTATGCTTTGTGCAGCTGCAGCAGACAATGCGTTGGATGGCAGCCAGTGATGGGTTAAGATGGACCGGGCACTGACCAACCTAAGACAGGGGCTCCGTCATGCTACGGAGATTCCAGATGACGGGTAAGGCTGATAACCTAGAGTCCACAACCTAAGACAGGCCCAGACAAGTCTGCTTTAAAACAAAAAAGGGGGATCTGTTGTGGGCTAAGGAGTTGGTTAGCATTTGTTAAGCTTGGCTCCTGCAGGAAATGGGCTTGGAGGCTGTGGCACCTTGTCTGTCAGACTCATTAGCATCTGATTGTTCTGCTAGAGGCTTGGGGGAAAGGTATATATGGCTGAATAAAGGGAGGCTGGGAGACCTCTTCCACCACTACCGGTCTCCTGTCGGTGTCTGATTCTCTGACCCTCGCCGTGTCCATGTTACTGGCTCAGCTGGCCGGTACATTTAGCCACTGGGGCACCTTCAGGCAGATCGGAGAGCTCCCAGGAGCCCAGATCCCAGGTCTGTGGTGATTTTGCTTTGTGGTATATGTGGGACAGGGACACGTTTTGTCCCGGGCACACCAGAGATGCGCGGGCCATGGAGAGTGACACCAGTCTCTGATTGGCTTGGGCATTTGTTTTCCCCAGGGACCTTTACGAAGATTCCCTTAAGCTAAAACGCAAGAAGAAGCAGGTAAACTGAGGCACACGGTGTGTCGCTGGAGGGAGGGATGGTGGGAGTAGGGGCAAAACATGCATTCCCCTCCCATTCCTAGGGGTGCTAAACCTCCTGCATTTTCCTAGGTGGGCTTCTTGGTGAGGAGGCTGCGCTGGCTGAGGGGTGAGCGCAAACCCCGCCGGGCAATGAGCCAGAATGAATTTGGTAAAAAATTATTCAATGAAACCTCTGACGAGGAAGCAATCTTCATGAGAGGGGCAAGGTAAATGACAGACTGCCTTCCCCACGTTACCTAACGGGAGCAAACGGGGCGGGCAGAGAGGAAAAGTGGCCTGTTCTGTTCCCCACAGCATGAGCGAAGGCCCGGGCGAGAGGGCGGCCGCTGAGTCGACTGCCGAAGGAGAAAGTGAAGCACCAGCAGCACTCGCGGCGCCCGGCGCGTCCCGCCCTCAGCCCCAGGCCAGCCCGCCCACAAGCCACCCGCTGGACCGACGACCGTTATGGCGGTTGGCCGCCACGCGGGGGCGGGGCCACGCGAGCAGCGCGCTGACGTCAGGGGCTGCGGGCGCTTGAAGGCGGGGATTTGCTGGAGAGGCCTGAAGGGCGGGGCCGGGCCGGAGGGGCGGACTCGGTGGTTTCCGCTTGCGCCCGGCGGCTTCCGCGTGCGCCCGGCGGCTTCCGCGTGCTCCTGGCTCTGCGCCGCCTCGCCCGATGGCCCCTCAGCGGAGGGCCGCGCCTAAAGCCCCCGAGGGCCGCGCCGAGGCTGAGCGCCGGCGCCCCAGCAGGTAGCGGGGATCGCGGAGCCCGCGGGCGGGACATGCCCGTGGGGGCGGGGCCGGGCTTGGATGGGCGTGGCTTCCCCTGCTTTGAGCGGGACTTTGCGGGGGCGGGGCAAGGCCTGGGTGGGCGTGGCGCTCCGGTGGGTGGGCGGGGCCTGGCGAGCCCCTCCCCGCGCGCACTGGCTGCAGGCAGGCGCTCCCTCCGAGGTCCGCAAACACCCCGGCCGGGCCTCCCTCGGGGAGGACTGGTCTCCCTTTGGTCCCAGGACCCGCTCCCCTGCCTCTCTCGGACAACGTGGGGCGCGGAGCTGGAGGGGCGCAGTGGCCCTTGAGTCCAACCCCTCAGGTTGATGGGGGCTCAGCCGGGCACGTGAGGAAGCCCCTCTTGCACAGGCTTGGCACCGGCCCCAGATCCCACGCTGCCAGAGGCTGTGACCAAGCGGGTTTCTCTGCCACTGCCACCCTTCCCAGCCCCTGGAGCCCTAAGGCGGTCCCTCTTCCCAGTGTGTCCGTGCTGGCCTCGGGGTGCAAGCCAGGGCAGCTGCTGGCAAGGGAGCGAGCTGGAAGTGGGTGCTGTGTGCTGTGTGGCTGGCGGAGTCCCCGAGATGGAGGTGAGCTGGGGCATGGCCAGGACCCTGCATCTGACCACGGCTGTTTCCTGTTGCCAGCTCCAGGAAGGACCGAGCCCCGCAGAAGGGGTCCAGGGTATGGCTGCAGGCCGCAGGCCTGGCGGCCATCGTGGCAGTGGCCACCCTGCTGCTGTGGAGCAGCCTGGGGGCCGACGACGGGATCAGCGGAGTCCTGGCCCGCCGTGGGGAGGTCGTGGCCCGCAGGTTCATCGAGGTGCCCTGTTCCGAGGACTACGACGGCCACCAGAGGTTTGAAGGTACCCAGCCCGGGCTGGGGGTGACACAGGTGTTGGCAGGCACCTGGGACATAGCGGAACCGGGGAAGGCACTGTCCCCATCTGGCTCCTGTGGACCACCTGTGGGGGGCAGGGAACGGGCGGAGCCGCCAGTGAAGGCTCAGCACCCTGGACGCACAGAGCTTCAGGGCTGCCCCCAGCCTGGACCCTTCCTCACCACTGGTGCTGTTTTCCAGGATGCTCTATGCTGTCTGGACATGTTCACATTTTTTTTAAAGGCAGAGTTACACAAAGAGAAGGAGAGATGCAGAGAGGGATGTCCAGTTGGCTGCTTCACTCCCCCAGATGACCGCAGCAGCCAGGGCTGAGCTGCCAGGAGCCAGGAGTTTCTTCGGGGTCTCCATGCCGGTGCAGGTTCCCAACCACCTGGGCCATCCTCTGCCTTTCTCAGGCCACAACAGGGAGCGGGATGGGACGTGGAGCAGCCAGGACTCAAGCTGGCGCCCCAGGGTGGGCTGCTGGCACCACAGGGAACCATTAGCAGATGTCTGGAACCCAGACAGCACCTGCACCAGGTTTTCCATCTGAGACCGTGCCGTGGCTGAGCAAAGGGGGCTTTCCAGCTGCTGGTGTCGAGTCCCATGTAATGGGGTGGTAACCCGTGTGTGCTGCGTGGGGCTCCTGTCCTCGACATCCCCCACAGTCCCTGGTGGTCAGCATTGAAGACGAAGGCGGGGCAGCAGGTGCGCCACCAGCGGCTGAGACAGCTGTGTCCTTCACGCCTGTGCTTGGGTCTGAGCCTGCCCCACTCCCGACTGCAATTCCTGCCCGTGTTGATGTGCGCACAGCAGGTGGTGGGCCCTGCGGCCCTTGGGAGGCCTGGCCTCAGCCGGCCCCTGCAGACATGAGCCAGCATGCAAGACCCCTAATGCCGATTACCAACACAAGTTGGAAGAGGAGGGATTGGCGAGTAGTGAGTGAGGTTTTTCCTGTAATGTTTATCATTTGGAAGAAATGTCAGAGAGGCAGGGAGGCAGGCCTGGCCCAGCCACGGTTGCTGTAGACACCTGCAGAGTGACCCGGTGGGTGAGAGCGCTCCATCTCTCTCGCCCTTTCTTTCTCTCTAACTCTTTCCAAAAAATAAACTTGTAAAAATGTATCTTAATTTCATTTGAAAAATAGAAAGACGTGCAGAGAATCTCCCATCTGCTGGTTCGCTCCCAGGTGCCCACAGCAGCAGGGCAGGGACGAGGTTCTTTCAGGGCTCCCCCGTGGGTAGCAGGGACACGCACGTGGGCCGTGGCCTGCTGCCTCCCGGAGCACGCCTTAGCAGAGAGCTGGGTCCACAGCTGCGGCAGGACCTGAACCCAAATCCCTGGGCAGGCTCAGTGGGCAGCGGCCTCCCTGTTGCGCCAGCGACACCCTGGGGGCCTCTTGCTCCCTGGCAGTTCTGACAGTTTGGGGTCAAGGCCGTGATGGGCGAATTTCCCTGTAGGGTCCAGCAGTTCTCTGGCCTGTGGCCACCCTGGGCCACCTCGGCTGCTGAGGTCGCCAGGGAATGGGCGGGCTCTTTGGGGCCCCGGGCTCAGCTTTGCCACAAAGAACCAGGGGAGCACCTTGCGCCTCCTGTACCCCCTTATCCTCTGTGTCCTCGTGGCGGGCACAGGGACTTCACTGCCACACCAGCCACCCACTGTTTTCTTTTAGCCCATCTGTTGTTTGGAACACTACGTTTATTATTTAGGAAGGCAGTGTGACAGAAGAGAGATCTTCCATCCACTGGTTCACTTTCCAGACAGCCACCAGGGTGGGGGCTGGGCCGTGTAGCCCCAGGGGTTGGGCGCTGCATCCGGGTCTCCCACACGGTGCAGGGCCCCAGACACTCAGGGCACCTTACTGGAGCTGGTCAGAGTGGAGTAGCCAGGAGCTGGACCAGCGGCTCAGCCTCCGGCCAGCCTTCTCCCGGCAGCAGACCGTCAGCCTCTGAGTTCACGCCTCCTGGCTGTGTCGTTCAGAGTTTGTGTCCAGTCTGACCGCAGAGTGGGCAGCAAGCATAGCCTGGGCCAGACAGGTGCCCTGGAGCTGGACCTGGGGGGTCCTGGGGGCAGTTCAGGGTGGGTGTGCTGGGATGCTGGACCTGGTTCCGGGGCTGCAGGTGGGTGACCCAGGGTGCCGGACCTGGCTCCTGGGCTGCAGATGGGTGACCCGGGGTGCCGGACCTGGCTCCGGGGCTGCAGGTGGGTGACCCCAGGGTGCCGGACCTGGCTCCGGGGCTGCAGGTGGGTGAGGCAGGGACAGCCCCGGAATGGGGAGCAGGCACGGTGGGGTGTGATGGTCTGGGGACCGGTTCCTGTGTCGCTGCACCTGCCGGCGCTGGGTGCGGCCCCGATACCAGGCAGCCCGACCCTGACCTAAAGTAAAGGCCCAGGGCGACTCCAGCCCCAGGGTTGACTTTGCAGTAAACAGGTGTGAGCATTCTAGCAGCCGCTTGATGGTCATGTATTATACTGCAAACAGGCCGCACGGGCATGGCACTGCACGCGGGCCCCCTGCTGGCCACACATGGCACCCCTGGGCTCTACCTAGCAATGCTTTGGCTGGACACCCAGCCAGGCATCCTGGTTCGGGGTGAGTGGGGTGGCCATGGCCTTGCTTGTAGGGATACAAGGTCCATGCTTGCCCTGATGGGGTACGGGTGGCCTGGTGGGTGCAGCTGGGCGGGGTCCAGGCTGGCCACCAGCACCCTCGGGTCTCACCTGAGCATCTGCCTCTCAGCCCCTGGCTAGTGGGATGCTCTTGGGGTTAAGATGGGTCCCTGCCAGGACCTAAGGTTGCCCTCAGATGCAGTGTGCGGTGTGACAAACTGCAGTAGTTTTTTGTTTGAAAGGCAGACCCCACCCGTTCAGGTGAGGGGTCCCTGTGCTGTGTGGGCCCTGCACTGTCTGTCAGCAGTGTGAGTATGTGGTTCCAGTGTGCCCAGCCGGGGGCGGTGTCACACAGGAAGGGGGCCGGCGTGGGGGCCGCTATGTGAGCACCCCAGGAGGCGTCCCCGGGGGCCTCGGGCCAGCATGCCAGGAACAGGGCCTATTGTTGTGAGCATCTCAGCTGGCTTCCTGCAGCACTTCCGATCCAGCTCCCGGCCTGTGTGTCTGGGAAAGCGGTGGAGGGTGGACGGAGGGCTGCCACCCATGGAGGGGACCCAGCTGCAGCTCCTGGCCACGGGCTGCAGCTTGGCCCTGGCCTGGTGCCGCTGTTCAGAGAGAACCAGTGGGTGTTAGATCGCTTTCGCTCTCTCCGTTGCCATTTCTTCTGCTGGTTCTGTTGTACTGTTTCAGACAGGTAAGGGAGAGGCCCTGAGATCCCATCGTCTCACCCGCGATGGGCTTAGGTGACCCCTGCATGCCCAGCTGTTGGGGGGCTGAGAGGGACGTCCAGACATCACGGCCAGTCCACAGTGCCCAGCTGGCGCCTGCCAGTCATCCATTTGCCACATCTTGGGGCAGTGGGGGTGGGGTGTCAGTCCCCACAAGGCCGTCTAAGGCTGCAGGGCAGGGGGCGACCCGGTCCCACTGCCTGGATGTGCTGCACAGCTCCTGGTCCGGCTTCCTGAGACTGCAGCCCCCAGGAGGTGGCCTGGATGGCTCAAGGGAGGGACGGCCCTGGCTCCCCGGCCCCAGCCTGGCCCCCGGGGCTGTGCTGCCCTCCACCTCACACGCTCCAGAGGCATCAGCATGGTTGCCCTGCACGGGTCTGGCTGAGTCTTCCTGTTGCTCTGGCCCACAGAGCAGAGCTTCGTGTGCAGGAGGCCTGTCCCTAGGAGATGGGGAGGCTGTGATTCAGGTTAAAGATTGCTGGGGAACAGCCACTGCCCCCTGCAGAAGGGCTGAGTTTCCCTCTCTGTCCACTAGAGGGCGGCGTCCTCCTGCCTGACTGCCTTCCCCATTGCTGGGCAGCCGTGAGCTCTCCAAGGCCTCCTTCCGCTGCACGCCCAGCTGCAGGTGCCAGGAGCTGAGACAAGGGCTCCGTCCCACATGGGTGCAGCGCCTGGGCACTGCTTGTCCTGCCATGGAGCGGCTGGCTGCCCGCAGGAGGCAGGCACCTGGGCACGCTCAAGTCCAGTGCCCACAGCAGGTCATATGTCGGGAAAGGTCTCCCATGTGGTGGATGCAGCTCTGAGCAGAGAAGCCTCACCTGGAGTGGTGGACCTGCTCGCCAGGCCCCCGGCCAGCTTCCTGTGCTCTTGGGGGCGCTCAGCCACGACCCTCCCTTGGGGTTGGGAGGCGATGCCACAATTCCAGAAAGAGCCAGTGCCATCTGCAAAGCCACCTTGGCTTCAGTCTCTGAGTGAGCCCGGCGGGAGAGTGCCAGGGAAGCAAGTTGGTCACTAGGGGTTCTGTGCACTCTGGCCCAGGGACCTGGGCAGCTCTCTGTCTCCATTCTTCTGTTCAACCAGCATCTTTTTTTTTTTTTTTCTAAGACTTACTTATTTTTATTGGAAAGTCAGATATACAGAGGAGGAGAGACAGAGAGGAAGATCTTTCATCCGATGATTCACTCCCCAAGTGGCTGCAACAGCTGGGGCTGAGCCAATCCGAAGCCAGGTCTGCCATGTGGGTGCAGGGTCTCAAACCTTAGGGCCGTCAGCTGCACAAGCAGGGAGCCGGATGAGAAGCAGGGCCACCGGGATTAGAAATGGCGCCCATGTGGGATCCCGTGCGTGCAAGGCAAGGACTTTAACTACTACACTATTGCGCCGGGCCCTTGACCAGCATCTTCAATCCACTGGTTCATTCTCCACATGTCCGCAACAGTCAGGCCTGGGCAAGGCAACTGGGAGCCAGGGGTTCCGTCCACTTGTCCCACATGGGTGGCTGGCACCACATACTTGGGCTGTGCCCTGCTGCTTGCCAGGGGGACACACAAAACAGGAAGCTAGAATGGGAGGGAGGGCTGAGAGTCGAACCTGGGCTCTTAGTTAAGCTGCTAAGTGCAGTGTCCACCAGGCGTCCTGCAGCTTCCAGGGGGTTGCAGTGCTGTTGGGCTGGGCACGCCAGGTGGCTGCATGGAGCAGTCCCTCAGCCCAGGCACACGTCAGCTGCCATGCAGGGAGATGTTGGAAAACTTTTAAAGGTGCAGTGGGGGGAGGGAGCCCCTGGGCCCCGTGGGTAACAGGGTCAGGAAGTGCGGGCTTTGGGGTGCGTGCTGAGATGGTGACAGGGGGGACCTAGGGGGCCTTTGGTGCCTCTAGGGAGTGGGTGGCTCCTGGTTCCTCTCCTTTGAGGGGTGTGGTTTGTTCTGCTGTGCTGGAGCAGGTGTATCTTACACCTGGCTGTGGTGTTTCTCACTCCTGCTGTCTGAACCACAGGTCCTGGGGCACACACATCCCAAGAGGCTCCGGATGTGACTGGCTGACCTTGCGCCTGGAGGCTGGCCAGCACGGTGACAAGAACAGCAGCTTGCCGGAGCCCTGCCCCATCAGTGCTGACACCAGCATCAGAAGGCGGCAGAGTGTGCTGTGAAGCGGGCACTGTCGTGGTGAAGACATGAAACACAAGGCATGTTTCCTGGTGGGGTTTCCGTGTTAGGTGTGTGGCTAGAGCTGGTCGGCTGCTGCCGGGCCATGGTGCCAGGGCGGGGGACCTGGTGGCCGCCTGGCAGCCGGCTGGCTACGGGCACAGGCAGCACCATGTGGAGATGACTGCTAAAGTGAGATGCCCAGAGACGTGGAATGCGGAGAGCTGCAGGGGCCCAGCTGTCTTCCCTCGGGCTGGGCTGGGGGCGAAGCCCCCCAGGTTCAGGCTGCGCCCGGCCTCTCTGCAGCGCTTCGCTTCAGATCCCCATTGCCATACAAGGAAGCGCCTTCCCGCTGCTCTTGGAGAAGTCCTGAATTGGCGCGGGCAGGAGCTCTGCGCTGCCTGGCTCTGGCTCCCAGCAGGGGAAGGGACGGTCATTCCTGGGGCAGCACTAGGGGTCTGGGTCAGGCCTGGGACTCTGCATTTCTCATGCTGCTGTCGTGGCGCCCACACTGAGGGCTCCAAGCTCTGGCCCCCGTAAGGCCAGCCTCTTGGTCACACGCGCTGATTCTGCTGTTGAGACTGGTTGGTGTTTTGCAGACAGAGGGTGTCCTTGCTCGCACGGCCGGGCTGCAGCCCAGAGCCAGAGACTCACCCCACCCCCTAGTGGCATGAGGCTGCACCGGAAACTTAACCCGCAGGGCCACAGCGCCCACTCGCACCACTGCTTGTGGTCTCGCGTGGGGAGCAGGCTGACTTCTCCACATTGCAGCCAAGAGGCCTCGTTTAACATCCAAAGACAACCTGTGTGTGCTTGGTCAGACTGGAGTCGTGTGTAGAGGACGTAAAGATGGCCCAGGAAAACCTCTCGGCAACAGTCGGGGAGACAGGGAGCCGTTTGGTTATTGGGGGGCCCTGAAGCCAGATGTCCCGCTTGGCCGTGCGGGGATGCCGGCCATGCCTTGGGGCGTGGCCATCCGGCCTTGCCCTGGAGAACACACGTGGGCGGTCAGATGTCCTGGCGGTGACTGCCAGCCAGCCCTGGTGCCCGAGACCCCAGGCACGCGTTCCTGCTCAGGGTTCCCACGTTTCTGCAAAGGTCAGAGAGTGTGGGGCGGGGAATGAGAGGGGGAGCTCCCCTTGGTTTCTCTTTAAAGATTCCTTCATTTGAGTTGGCCGTGTCGGGCTGGGCCGGGCCTGGCTGGGCCTGGCTGCGCTGGGCAGGGCTGGACTGGGCCTGGCTGGGCTGGGCCTGGCTGGGCTGGGCGGGGCTGGGCCTGGCTGGACTGGGCCGGGCTGGGCTGGGCCTGGCTGGACTGGGCCGGGCTGGGCTGGGCGGGGCTGGGCCTGGCTGGAGTCTGGGACCAGGAACTCCATCCAGGTCTTCCCCTGCTCTAGACATGTCAGCGGGAGCTGGATCACACATGGGGCTTCTGGGACTCCAACCAGCTCCCCCAGGCTGCCAGCGTCACAGGCAGCAGCTTCACTAGCTATGCTATAGCCCTGGCCCCACTTGGTGGTGGTTTGTTTTTTCTCAATGTTCATTTAGTGCAAAGTCAGATACACAGAGAGCAGGATCTTCCGTCTGTTGATCTGCTCCCCAAGTGGTCGCAATGGTCAGAGCTTTGCTGACCTGAAGCCAGGAGCTAGGAACTTCCTCCAGGTCTCCCACACGGGTGCAGGGTCCCAAGGCTTTGGGCCATCCTCGACTGCTTTCCCAGACCATAGGCAGGGAGCTGGATGGGAAGTGGAGCTGCTGGGATTAGAACCGGCGCCCTTATGGGATCCTAGTGCGTGCAAGGTGAGGACAGGAGCGCCAGGCCTGCCCCTCCCCTCTTTTTAATTGGAAGAATTAGTTTTAATTTGTGCTTGCCCTTCACACTGAAACAGGAAATAGCTTCTGCCTGGAGTGGTGGAAGGTTCCAGAACAATGGTACTTTCCTTGGGAGAGTACTGTTTGCTGGGTTACCCCTTGATTATGGCAGCGGCCAGGCCTGTCCTGCCTAGACCAAGGCCCACTCGGGAGCTGTGCCCCGCTGCCTGCAGGGTCAGTGTTAGCTGGCAGCTCAAGCTAGGATGGAGGACGCCAGACCTAAGCGGCTTAGCCTCTGCCTAGCACCTGGGGTCCGAGGCCGGAAGCCAGAAGCCATCAGAGTTTCCCCCACTGCCACCCCCAGGTGTCTCCTGCCATGCTTGGCCCCTCCTGAGCACCCGAAGCCTCCCACGACTGTGCCTGACCGGCCAAGGAGTGACACAGCCACCTAGGAGGAGGCTGAAGCCCCTGACTGCTCACGCGCAGTCCACTCTTGGTCTCCGGAGTGACACCTGTCACAACATGGGGGTAGGTAAGGAGCCTGTGCCAGGAGCTGCCCAGTGGGACCAGCACGGGTGGCACGTGATTTCCCTGTCAGCCACAGCGGGCGCACAAGCCCAGCCCCACCATCAGTCACTGTGGGACTCTCAAGTTCAAAACCTTTTCAGGTGCAAGTCCAGGAAGGTAGAATTTCCACTGAAGGGAAGCTTCCTGGTTGTGCCTGAGCCCCTCCCTGCCCGGTCCCCAAGGAGATAACCTTGAGATGCTGACCTTCAGCGCAGGGCAGCCTGCTTAGCAAAGGGAAGTTCTATTTGAACTTCAGATTAACACATAATCCTGCATGCCAAATTAAGTGAAGGGCAGAGGCGTGTGGGGGGAGGGGAAAGTCCCCTCCCTGGACCCCACAAACCACACTTCTGCTGCCAGTGGAGGGCCTGGTGCTGGAGCGTCACGTCTCCAAGCTGCTGGCTCGCTCCTGTCCCCAGTGGGCCGCCTCCCTTAGTCGTGACCCTGAGGGGCTGCCTGTGCCACAGCCCTCGCCCAGGAGGGCAGCCCCTGCTCAGGTGGCCCTGTTCTGTCCCTGGCTTCCCCACCTTACATGGAAGGTGACTGGTGGGGGCTAGAAAAGCCAAGAGGCAGTTCTGGAAAATGCCAGAAAGGCCTGGAAGCCGGAGTCCCAGCCAAAACCTTGGAGTGGCCTGGCCCCGACTCCGTCCCCCGTCCGTGGGTGCATCCTTATGGGGCAGCTGAAAGCGGCCGCTCGTCATCTCTGATTTCCCTTGAACACAATCTCCACCTGGTAAATTGAATCTGGGCTTGGTGTGTGTGTTGGAGGAAGGGGTGGGCAGGGGTTCAGTGTCCTGTGCCCGTCAGCAGGGACCCTCCCCTAAGCCGTCTCTGTGTGTGTGTTGCTTATGTCGCCTCTTGTGGGCCCTGGGGACTGTCCTGGTTGTATCGCAACACGGAGGCTGGGACCTGGCGAGGGGTGCACCTGCCCCTCAGAGTGCGTCCCCCCAGGTCAAAGCTGGAGCCGGACCCAATAAAATTAAATCTTCAAGATTATATTTGGGGCTTGTGGTCAGCATGGAGGCTTAACAAGCTCACCCTCCTGTGGTGCCATATGTGTTCCACTTCAGTCCCAGCTGCTCCAGCCCTCAGGCGGCTTCCAGGCGCCCTGCTGGCTGTGCCGCCTGGTGGGCTGAGAGGTTCAGCAGACTGCTGCCCTTGCCCGTCCTTGCAGGGAGGGCCTCTGCCCACAGCTCCTTGGAGCATGACCGTTGGGGTTGGCATTCCTGTCAGTGTTGTCACTTTTTAAAAAGATTTCTTAATTTTGGGGCCTGGCACGGTAGCCTAGCAGCCAAAATCCTCAGCTTGAATGCACCAGCATCACATATGGGTGCCGGTTCTAATCCAAGCAGACCCGCTTCTCATCCAGCTCCCTGCTTGGGACCCTGCACTCACGTGGGAGACCTGGAAGAAGTTTCTGGCTCCTGGCTTCAAATCAGTTCAGGTCCGTCCACTGCGGTCACTTGGGGAGTCAATCACCGGACGGAAGACCTTCCTCTCTGTCTCTCCTCTCTCTGACTTTCCAATAAGAATTTAAGAAATTTATTATTTTTATTGGAAAGTCAGACTTACAGAGAGGAGAGACAGAGAAAGGTCTTACATTGATGGATCACTCCCCAGGTGGCCGCAGCAGCCGGAGCTGTGCTGATCCGAAGACTCCTGCTCCCGAGGTCTTGGACTGTCCCCCACTGCTTTCCCAGGCCACAAGCAGGCAGCTGGATGGGAAGTGGAGCTGCTGGGATTAGAACCGGCACCCATATGGGATCCCGGCGCATTCAAGGTGAGGACTTTAGCCACTAGGTCATGCTGCTGGGCCCTCAAGTGGTTTTAATAGTTCACCAGTTATGAATCACTGCCAATCTCGCCGCTCCAAGCATGATGAGGTCATTGAAGAATCCGCTGATTGACATAGTCCATCATAGAGTATCCATTGGTTCAGTATTTTGCTGCCAACATGTAGCTGAGGTGGTTGATTGACCTGTTCTGTCTTCCATCCTTTCTTGGTTAGGGTTCTGAGTCCGCCATTTCAATTGGGGAGATCCCCAAAGAAACTGAGGTGTTCCCAGACCAGATTCTTGTATGTACTAGCAAGTACAGGGCCCGGCACAGTCCATCACCCCAATCAGCTGGTGGTTGCAATTGCTGGGTTGGTTCTGTTTTCAGCTCCGACTTCCACTGGAACCAATGGGTGTTGTAGTCCAACCTCATTCTGCCCAGCACATACTCGGCCCTCACATAAACCAGTGGGAGCTGCAGCCTAGTTGGAGCGGCCCGCAATAACCCCCATCAGGCCCGCCCCTTACCCTGGTTTGCCAGTATGTGTAGCAGACTAGTCCAGTCTGTCCCACATCCCGTTTGGCTCTCGTACATGTCGGGTATTGAAGCTTAGTTCCATCTAACCAGCTCAACTATCCAGCCCTCACAGTGTGCATGCGTCTCTGTCTAGCCACCCCAGCCCCTGTCCTAGTTTTCATGCCCTCCTGTGGTAGTGGTAACCCAAGAGGGAGGAACCCACTATTTCCCTCCCAGGTCTTTCTCACTCCCGGATTATGTACTCTCCAGGTGGTTCTGTGGTTTGACTTGACAGAACTAGCCTCCAGTGCCAGCTTCTGCCAGCTGATGCTGCAGCTAAGCCCAAACAACCCTCACCCACTCTAATTTATGCTTGCACCATTAGGAATAATAAGCCCAACCTGGGTTTTCCCTGATCTAGTCCACATGAGGCACACAGGTGTTGTAGCCCTGCCTAGTCTGGTCTGCCCCATCCCAGCTCTTGCTCTCCTGAGGGAGTAGCTGTCCAACAGGGGAATCATCCCTTATTCCCCTGCCGGCTCCGCCCCCTCCCTTCCTGGTTCTCCCATGTGCTGGATGGGCGCTGCAGTCACATCCAGTACAGGTACCCTCACCCTGGCATTCTGTATTGTGCACTGTTTTTTGTTGCAACCGAACTTAGCTCGACCCACACTCTGTTCTAGTGCTTGGATTTGGATAATGTAAGCTAATTCAAACTGGTCTGCCCCCGACCCATGCCAAATGTGTGCCAGTGAGTAAGTTTCCATGGCCTATTCTGGGCTGTTTCCTATCATGCTTCTTGCGCTTACCTGCCGGGTCTGTGTCCTGCCAGAGGAGTTGCCCAGGCTCCTCCATCAGAACCCCTCCCAATGCCAGATTTTGTGCATACCAGGGGTTCCATGAGCCAGCCCTACTCAGTTCACCTCCTGTCCTAGAAGGAACTGTGGCTTTTCCTGACTGGCCTTCAACCCAAGCTGGTTCTTGCTGTTGGATGTTCCAGCCCAGCCATGGCTCGTCCATACCCACATATGGCTCACACGTGGTTCAGTAGGGGTTGAGACCCTGCCTAGTCCATCGCACACCTGCCCTGGTCCTCCAGGACACCAGGGGGTGTTGGGGTCTGGCCTGGTTCGGTGCGTCCAGTCCCAGTCCCACACTAGTGCCTAGGGAGACTACAACTGTTTCCTGATTGTTCCGGCCAGCTGAGCCAGTAGCATGGACACGGCGAGGGTCAGGGAATCAGACACCGACAGGAGACCAGTAGTGGTGCAAGAGGTCTCTCCCAGCCTCCCTTTATTCAGCCATATATACCTTTCCCCCAAGCCTCTAGCAGAACAATCGGATGCTAATGAGTCTGACAGACAAGGTGCCAGGGCCTCCAAGCCATTTCCTGCAGGAGCCAAGCTTAACAAATGCAAATCAACTCCTTAGCCCACAACACCTGATCAGAACGCAGCCCCGATTCCAGCCCACGTGCCCATTGGTGGGAACCTCTACCCAGTTAGGGTGTCCCCTTAGCTCCCCAGCTGGGCCTGTTCCCAGCCATAGATCACATGCATGCCGGTGGTTGCTCTGACTCTTTGATTCAGCCCCTCACCTGTCCTGACTTCTGCCTTAGACACTGTGGCTTAGTGTCCCTGACTCACGCAGACCAGTAGCAGCAAGAGCCTAGCTCGGCATGACCTGTGCTCCACCCTTGGTTTCTAGTTTCGCTTGTAGGCTAAGGTTTGCTCAGTCCTGCCCAGTACATCCCGTTCCATTACCAATTGTCACATTTGCCAGCTGTTGGAGCTACTTTTCCCAGCTTGTCCGACCCCCAGGTCTGGACCACATGTTCACCAGTGGGAGCTATGACTCTCCATGGGAGTTTCCCAAGTTCTTTCACTTGATCCCCTCCTGGACCCAGTTCTTGTACATGCCCTTGGGTTTTAGGCCAGTGCCCGGCGCAGTCTGGCCTTCCATTTGGCCTTGTATGAGCTGGTGAGTGTTGTAGCCTGGGCCACCCGACACCCTATTCAGGATGCACATTTGGGTGCTGCTGCCTTGACCAGTCCACACTGTTGTGGGTTCCTTTACCTGTGAGTAATGGCAAGCTCCTTGGTCACACCTAGCTTAACCCGTCACCACCCCAACTCTTAAGCTAACCAGTGGGGCTAGAATTTCCACAGGGTTTGGCCCACACATACCTCACAGAATCTACCCCCGGATATGGTTCTTGAATGCTAGTTATTGTCATGGCATTGCCTACTGTGACCCCTCTGCTGATCCATCATCATGTCAGGTAATAGGATATCCTGCTGGACAAGCCCCGAGCCTTAGCTTTTGCATGAACTGGTGTTTGGTGCTCAGCATTGTTCAGTAATTAAAGTTCTTCAGAGGAAGAGTTACTGTCATTGGGAATCTTTAGGATTGATTCACATCCCCAAAGCACTGTGGGTTCAACCTGGAGCTACCTAAGCAGTGATTCAAAGAACCAAAACCCCAGAGCTCTCCGGCTGGAGCTCTGAAGCCAGGAGCCAGGAGCCTCTTCCAGGGTGCCAGGGCTTTGGGCCGTCCTCAGTGCTTTCCCAGGCCACTAGCAGGAAGCTGGATGGGTAGTGAAGCAGATACAAAGCATTGCCTAAATGAGATGCTTTTATATGCAAGGCAAGAACTTTAGCCACTAGACAACTGCTCTGGGCTTATAGATTATTATTTTGAAAAAGGGGGGGTGATTGTTACTAACGATGTGGGGGAATTGGAACTCAAAAAGATTAGATGGAGGTCTTGATCTGTTTGCCTCTGGGTTTATCTGTCTCTCAAAAAAACATTGAAGGGCCCGGCGCAGTGGCGCAAGTGGTTAAGGTCCTCGCCTTGCACGCCCGGGATCCCATATGGGTGCCGATTCTAATCCCGGCAGCCCCGCTTCCCTTCCAGCTCCCTGCCTGTGGCCCGGGAAAGCAGTCGAGGACGGCCCAAAGCTTTGGGACCCTGCTCCCGTGTGGGAGACCCGGAAGAGGCTCCTGGCTTCGGATCGGCATAGCATCGACCGTTGCGCTCACTTGGGGAGTGAATCATCGGACGGAAGATCTTCCTCTCTGTCTCTCCTCTCTGTATATCCGCCTTTCCAATGAAAAAAAATAATAATAATAAATCTTAAAAAAAATTTCAAAAGAGAAACCAATTTAGAAATCAGCATGTGCCAAACCACATGCTTGGCACTGGGAGGAAGATGAAGCCCTCGCCCTGGAGGTTCTGTGCTAGGGGCTGTGCCAGACAATGAACTGTGCACGCCATATAGGAAGGCTCTGGAAGAAGTCAGTGGGTCCTCATCCCCCAGAATTTTAAGAAACTTCTTAAACTTGCTGATTTAACACCGTAGGTGTCTTCTCTGAAAAGCAGTACTTTTTCAGGGTGGGATGGGGCAAGTGCTCCTAAGCCAATTTAAAGGGTGAATCATTTAAACTCTCTCCTCTACATTGCCTATTCATCCCAAATCCCTCCCACAAAAATCTTGGAGTCATCCCTGATTTCATGGTAATTCCTACGAAATGGAGTGAATGAATGATCAAACGTGGACAGAAAGGATACTGAGGCTCTAGAGGAAGTGGACACATTTTGAATAAGTAGCCATAAGAAGCATTCTGCCCCTTTCCTAGCTGGCTCTGGTGAGAGAAAGAGCATCTCTTGGATTTCAACTCAAGAGGAGGCAGAGTTCTGGCCACCAGATTCCGACTAGCCATTCTGAATACTCCAAGAAGCCGGGCCTTGTGACTTCCTTGGGAAGCTCTGCCTCCCTTCCCCCACTAAATGGTCTGCTAGTGTCCTGGGGCCACCTGGGCTTGTGATCCTCAGCCCGCCTTGCCATGGGGATAGAAGGGATGTGGTGGGAACAGTTGTCTTTCCTGCAGGAGAAGGGCAGCAGTGACTGTGAGAAAAAGGCGCCCAAGTTCAGAGCAGCAGAGACCAACAAAGGCTGTGTAAGGAAGATGTCATAAGTAAAGGGCGGGGCAGAAGGCAAGGTTGCTAAGCAACAGGTGCCAAGGGACTCCCATATTGCTTTGCACCTTTGAACAAGGTGGATTGCACTTCCCTTGGTAGTTTGATCTATTGCTTACAAAAAACCCAGACCCCTTCCCGCCCACCACCAACATGAGCCTATGGCTTATACTGGTGTTGGGGTCAGTACAGGCAACTCCTCCTCAGGAGTGGGACCAGGACTTGGTCCAGCTGACTCCTGAGGCCTGGTCTACCCAATCCATGGATCGACCAGATGAGTTGCTCAGTACACTGACACCCCATACAGACCCCAATGGCTTTGACGACCTGGGGTCTACGAATATTCTAGATGACTTCAAAGTGGAGGAGCACCCAGGTGAGCTCCTGGAGCTCTTTGATGCAGCAGAACCATCTGAGCTGCAGCCGGAGGACATTCCTCAAAGCCCTGAGACTCTTGAGCAGGGCCAGCTCTCTTTGCTCCAGAAAGAAGGCCTAGCACAGGTTCCACAGCCTCTCAAGGAGACTACATCTTCTCCAGTGCTGCAGGGGTCTCCAATTCAGATCTCTGCTGCTGAGGAAGCTGTCCGGCAGCTTGTGCAGAGCGAAATCAATGTTCCAGGTCCACTGCTGCCTTCAACCTTGTCCAGCATCAGAGATACCTATAGATGTGACGCTTTCGATCACGATACAACCAGATGAAATTCAAGGTACTCTGGGCCAGCTGCAGGCCCCAGTTCAGCCTGCGGGGATCTTGGAAGAGGAATCCCCTCCCTCAAACCCACAAGAGGCTCCAGCTCAGACTCCTGGCCCTCCTGTAGATACAGAGAATTCTGCCAGCAGGCGGGAGGAGCAGGCTCCGGGTACAGAGCCTTCAGCGGAAGTGGAGCCTTCCCAAGGACAGCAGGTGGCCCCAGCTCACAGTCCAGGTGCTTCTGTGTGTTCAGAGCCTTCTGCCAGCAAGCGGGAGGAGCAGGCTCCGGGTGCAGAGCCTTCAGTGGAGGTCCAGCAGCTCACAAATAATGAGATCCATGTTCCACGTCCACCGCTGCCTTCAACCTTGTCCAGCATCACACAGATACCTATAGATGTGACACGTTCGATCACGATACAACCAGATGAAACTGAAAATACTCAGGGCCAGCTGCAGGCCCCAGTTCAGCCTGCGGGGATCTTGGAAGAGGAATCCCCTCCCTTAATCCCACAAGAGGCCCCAATTCCTCCTGCTCCAGGCCCATCTGTGGGAACAGAATCTTTTCCCGTCCACCAGGTGACCCCAGCTCAGACTCCACGTCCTTCTGTGGAGGTCACATCTCCTCCCACCCAGCTGGAGCAGCTAACAAAGGATGCTGAGCCTTCGTTGGAGGCAGAACCTTCTCCAGGCTAGCAGGACCAGTTTGCTCAGCCATCTGAGTCCACTGGACCTGGTGAATCTTCTAAAAGCCTGCCTGAAGAAGACATAGTTCAGCCTCCAGAGCAGCAGGAGGAAATATTCGTACCTTCAGCTCGCCACCACTGGCAACAACACACGGACTTGCCCAGTATGGCTGCTAAACCTGCACATTTGCAGAATACCATCACAATGCAAGCAAATGCAGAAGATGGCTTGCCAATAAAGCACAATGCTGAAGCTCAGCCTGAGGCCCCAGCTGTGCCTCCAGAAGCTTTTGAAGAGGTTGGGTCTATACCTTCGCCGGAGGTGGTACCTCAGGAAGACGAGCCCTCATCTGAGGAAATCAGACTGTCTCCAGCCCAGCAGGAAGCCCCAGCTCCGGTGTTGGAGACCGAAGAAGTGAAATCTCCACCTGCAGAGTCTCATGAGGCGACAGTTCCTCCTGAAGGTCAGTCTGCAACATTGCCGAGTGTGTCTGTTAACCCTGCAGAGACCATGACCGAGGGTGTAACTTCAAGCCAACAAGAAGTTGCAGCTCAGGCCTCGGGGAACACTGAGCTGGACCTGACACTCCTGAAAGGAGGTGACCACTCAACATTTTCCACAAGTATGGATAAATCAGTAGATCCTGAGGTCACCTTCACTTCCCCTTCAGAGGTTGAGCCTTACCCAGCCTTACCTTCTTTAGCTGAGCCAGAGGCCATGGATGAGACTGCAGCTTCCCCTAAGGAGATAGAGCCTATCCCTACAGGATGGGAATCTCCAGCTGAACCCCTGGAGACCCTTCACATCACCCTTCCGTCTCCACCGTGGAACATCCGGAAATGACTGTGGGTTCCAAAACCCAACCCTAAGTATATCACCTGACTCCACCTCCTACTGTGGAGGATGCCCTTTTATTAAAGACAGGACCCAGTGTGGAGGCTGAACATTCTACAGCCCTGAAGACCACAGCACCTCTGGACTCTGAGATTTCACATCCAGACCAGGTCCAGACTCACCATGCAGCCCTGCCCAAGGTCACAGTTGCACATTGGGACCTAGGAAATACTCCAACTCCAGAACCCAATACAGAGGTTGACCACTCAGGAGACCCCTGTGCAGCTTACAGAGCCATCTACAGAGGTGGGAGCTCAACCTCCAGTGTTGCAAGAGGTGGCCGTTCCAATGCCAACTCCACCTCAACCTCCAATGACACCCAGTGTCACAGATCAGACCTTGAACTTACCACCTACCAATGGTCCAGAACCCACTGCAGAGGCTGAGCATGCAACTGCCCTGAAAGAACCTACAGGAACGAGTCCAGACACAGTTCTGACTCAGCAGCTAAACCCGAGTCCTGCTGTGGAGGTCGAACATGCTACAGCCCCGAGGAATGCCAAAACACCACCTCTGGGTGTCCCTGAGGTGACACTTCCACAGGCAGAGCTGGTTCAGACGCAGCATCCAAACCTGACTGAAGTCACAATTCAGGCATTTGATATTGAGTGGCTTTTCAATCCAGAATTGCGGAGGCTGAATCATCTCCAGCCCTGCAGGAGACCTCAGCTCAGCCTCCAGAGCCTCCATTGGAGGTTGTAGCTCCAACTCAGCATATAGTGCCGGTCAGTGTCACAGTTCAAGCTCTGGAGACAGAAATTCTCAGAACCCCAGAACCCACCACGTTGGCTGAACAGTCTACAGCCCTGGAGACTACAGCAGCAGCACCTCCAAGGCATTCTGAGGTGCCACCTACATATACAGACCGGAGCCAGACTCCACAAGTCACAGGCAATCCTCTCAATTTATCTACAGAGGTCAAGCCTACAACTATTCCGGTTACTCTAACGCGACCACCAGAGCCAACCAAGATTGTAACTGTTACATCACCTGGAGTCACAGGTCAGCCTTCAGATTCCCCAGTCACGGGTCAGCCTTCAGATCCCCAAGTCACGGGTCACCCTTCAGAGCTGGAGCATATCAAAGCTCCAGTCCCTGCTCCAGAGGTTGACCCTTCTAAAATCCTGAAGACTACAGCTCCACCTCCAGGGCAGTTTCAAGCTTCATATCCTGAAGTCAATGCTGCTGAACATGCTACCCGGCTAACGGCTTTCATTGAGCCAAAAGAAAGCACCCCCAACAGCACGGACATCTGCGAGCTCTGTACCTGCAAAAATGAGATGCTGTCATGTGCCAGTCAGCTGCAGCAGAAGCTCCACCAAGTGCCTGTGCCAGGATCCTTCAGTGCCCACAATGACACCTTCACCATCTTGTAAGAACTACCCTTCCTCAGAGTTCTCTAGATCTTGTCTGTCACAGTAGCCTTTTGCTCAATACCTTGCTGGGCCTTCCTCCTGACTCAACCTGTATTTCCTGACTTCCTATCGTGACATTTTTCTTGTCACCTTTCCTTCTCCTTCTCTTAAAAAAAAAAAAAACTATTAGATTTACTGGAAAGGCAGAATTACAGCAAGAAGAGAGATCTAGAAAAAGTGATCTTACTTCTGCTGCTTTACTCCTCATATTGCCACAATGGCTGGGGCTGGGCCAGGCCAAAGGTAAGGAGCAAGAGCTTCTCCTGGGTCTCCTGTGTGGGTTCAGGGGCCCAAGCACTTGAGCCATTTTCCACTGTATTCCCAGGCACATTAGTGGGGAGCTGGATAGGAAGCTGGTCATCAAACCGGTACCCATATGTATGGGATGCCAGCATCCTGACAGCCTGACCTGTTACCCTTGACTATTGGAATCAACAAAGGTTAGTAGACAGTGTGGCTGCAAAGAACTGACTTACGAAGCAATAAAAGATATTAAATAAACAACCTTAGATAGCAGCTACAGGGGTTTCAAAGTTATACTGCGAGCTGCAGGAAACCCTGAAAGTTTTCAAGCAAGAGAGAGGTGATCAAAACAGAAGGATTATTTTTGAAATTTTTTAAAGAAATTGATCATTGTCTTAATTTTTTTCTATGCATTTACTTGAAAGGCAGAGAGACAGATTCAGACAGAGAGTTTCCATCTGCTAGTTCGTTCTCTGAATGCCTGAACAGCAGGCACTGGGTTGGTCAAAGTGGGTAAGAACCCAACCTAGGTCTGCCATGAGGGTGGCAGGAGGGCAGCTATTGGAGCCAGCTCCACCACCTTCTGGGTGTGTGTGGGCAGAAAGCTGAAGTCAGTAACTGGAGCCGGGTAGGAGCCCAGGCACTCTGACGTGAGATGTGTTTTAGTTACTAGGCCAAATGCCTGTTTCAGAAATATGATTTTAGACACTATATGGAGAGTCATCTAGAGAGGAAAGCTTACTTCAGGGACATTTAAAAAAAAAAAAGACCTCTAGTAAAATCAAGGAATAAAATGAGAATGAGACCAAGTCACCAGCTATGATAGGAATGAAAAGAAAGTCCCTGAGATGAAAAAGGCCGGACGGACCTAGAAACTGATCAAAGGCTGGTGGGTGGATGTATGCACAGAAGAAAAAAATATGACTGCAAGCTTTGTCCTGGGTGCTGGTGAGAGTGAGTGCCTCACAGATGCAGACAGCAATCAGAAAGGAGAGGCAATCTGAGGGAGGTGTGTTCAGTTTTAATACTTTATGTTGGTGAACATAGAGCAAAGCCTTCTGGTTGAATGGGAATGTCCACCAGGCAGAACACGCAGGTACAACCGTGTACATAAGCCATGCAGGTGCACTGTTGATGATGGAGTGAAGACAGAAGCACAGGTAAAGACTCAAAGTTACCCAGACTTGAAACTTACAGTATTTAAGATTGCTTTGGAATGTGGATGATTCATGGGTACATTCTTACTTTGCCAAAGGATCATGGAACAAAGAGAAAAATATCAGAATCTACACCCCCACACCCTTTATCATCCTATCCTCTCTACTCCACTATCCATAAGTCACTCCCATCTCCATGAGGATATGTGTCCCTCCTCCCAGTTTCTCTCCCTTGCACTTTTCCCTGAGGGAGGTGATGTTTTGCTCCTGGCTCAGTCATTTGATTTTTCCATCCCTCACCATGGCTATGGCCAGTGACCCATTCGTGTCAACACATTAGTCCATCTGATTTTGCATTGTCCATGTCCATTCACGTAGGTAGAATAATTGCAGTAGAAGGTACTTGGCCAAAGTGTTAGAATTACTGTACGTTGGAGTTTCTTTATTCTTATTTGCTGCTGAAGATCCATTGTTCTCAGCTGAATTATTTTCTTACTGATTTGCAAAAGGACCAGTTTAGACACCCAGGGAATTTTGGAGGCAGTATGTCCCTCAAATGCAACTGATTGGCATTATCTATCAAAGAGATTGCACAAAGAGGAAGTTAAGCTTCTGAAGGGACACCTCAACGTTTGTGCCAGGACCCCATGTTGTTCTTTCTTAATTGTGCCTGCCATCAGGTGAAGCTCTAGAAACTAGAAAGCTGGTAGTAATATCCTTATTCAATATCCCCATGAAGTTGCTACGAGTGTTTTCCTTGTTCTGTTCATTGTGTTCCTATCTATTCAAGGATATGAACTGTGCTTCTTTACAGAAATTTCAAAGGAAATACTATATCCTACATTGAAAAAAATGTGTGGAAAGCATATCGCTGGGCTGAGACTTTGTGAGTATATTCTCTCTAAATATGGATACAAAAAAAAAGTAACTGCATCTTAAACTCTTTGGTCCAGTATTAGAGGTCAGAATGTCTTGGAAAAGGTATTTACCCCTTCATGTTAACAAATCAACCTCTACTTATTACAGTTCTAAAACACAGTATTTGCGATGAGACCACTGAAGTTTATTTTTCATCTTGTAAGTAATACATGATTATATTATTTTTTATTTAAGATTTCTTTGCTTTTGTTGGACAAATTATTCTTACAAAGAGGAGAGACAGAAAGATTCTGTATCTGTTGGCTCACTTTCCAAGTGGCCTCCACAGGCAGAGCTGAGCCGAGGTGAAGCCAGGAGCCAAGAGCCTCTGCTGGCTCTCTCTTATGGGTTCAGAGTCCTAAGGCTTTAGGCCATCTTCTACTGCTCTTCCAGGCCCTAAGGTAGGGAGTTGGATGGAAAGTGGAGCAGCCGGGACGTGCACTGGTGCCCACATTGGATCCCAGCTCTTGCAAGATGAGGATTTAGCCATTGAGCTTTCATGCTGGGCTCCATGATTACGTTCTTAAGAGACTAAAAACTGATACAGTAAAAATCTTCTTGTAGTGTAACATTCCATCCCTGAAGTAAGCTGCTGTGACTGTGATATACATCGCTCCAGACCTTCTCTTATGTTTTTCTGCACATCATTTAGACACAGGAAAACTAGTGTGATATGTGGGCTTTTTTTTTTTAAGATGTAATTGTTTTACTTGAAACTCATTAGAGTTACAGAGAAAGGGAGAAAGATCTAACTTGCATTTAAGTGGCACCCTACTGAGGGTTCCTCCACATCAGAGTTATTCCTGAATAAAAATTGTTGTTATTCTTCATTTTGATCCAGGATTCTCAGTGAAAATTATTTAATGGAATTGCATAAGGATTCATTTGAAGGCTTGCTATTCCTGCAGCACTTGTAAGTTAGTTAAGCACATTTATTTCTGAGATTTTAGTTGTTTTCTATCAAATGAATAAGGTATTTAAATAATCTCTAAAGTTTCTTCTAGTATTAAAATAACAATTCTGTAAGTATGTATAGGGTCTCATGCATTGAATCCATACTATTCATTTTGTATTCTTCAAGCGTAATAGCTGGGTATTTGGAGGGGTTGGTCAGGGGGAGGAATGCCAAGGATTTGGCCATCTTCCACTGCCTTTCCAGGCATAGAGCAGGAATGTAGATGGAAAGTGGAGCAGTGAACTCAAACCAGGGCCCATATGGGATGTTGGCATGGCAGGGCTGTTTTACCTACTATACCACAATGGGCTCCGAATGCCATGCATCTTTATTAGGCCGATTATTGCTACTCTTAGGAAATAGATTCTTCTTTCCAATTTATACAGCTGAAGGACAGTGGGTAGAAACAGCCTTATCTGACACTAACAATAATCCTTTGAATGACCAAGCTCTCTAGGCCTGAAGGGGACAATTGCTTCCATCTTTTTCTTCTGGACTCCCAAACCTTATAGACCTGATCTGGAGAAAAACAGAAGAGATAATAACTGTCCAGTACAACAGGCCCTTCCTTGCTTTTAGTGGGAAGTCCTTTGCAAGCTAGTTATTCTCTGTCGGCATCTATATTGTCATCCCTTTTTAAAATGCCATCATTTTTCATAACTGAAAGAGAATGCTAAGCACGTAGTCTAGTTTGAGGCTCTAAAATGTGTAAGGCAGGCTTCCTACCCTCCTAGGAGCTGCAAGATCGCTTGCAGGGGAAACACGCACAGAAATCAAACATGATCCAACAAACAGGTCGATGACAACACACTGCAGAGGGTCAGTGGAGTAATGCAACCACATTCCTTAAACACTAGTGATTTAGAAAAAAAAAATTAAAAGAAAAAAAAACTAGTAACTTGTTCCTCCTTCCGTTCACTCACTCCTTAGCTATTCCTTTATTTCCTAAGTATCTGAGTTTGCTTTGTTTCCATGAGCCAGGTGGAAACATGGTAAGCAGTGCGCATGAGCAAGGCCAAGTCCATGCTTTCAAGGTGTTTATGCTTTGAAGGAAGGGGAGAGGCAAGGGTAACAATGTGAAAAAGAAAAGGGCACAGACATGATGTGCAAATTGCTTCTGGAGAACCGAACAGGGAAAAGAGACTCCAAGTTGGATCAGGGGGCTGTAGCAAGAGTGATATTGGTTAAACAGGGCATCATTGGAAGGACACTGTGTAGAGCCACTGGGCATCATTGGGAGGACAGTGTGGGGCGGTACCCTCAGACCGCAGAAGGAAAGTGAGAGAAGGGCAAAACACAGGAGAGTGTCTGAGGAACGCCATGAGTACCTGTGGAGTCCACGGAGGAAAGCTGTAAGGAGTGTGGGGCCACAGCCTCCAGGGCTTTGACTGTCATGCAAAAGTCACCAGCCAGGAGAGCCACGTGTTCCTGGCAGCGCTCTGAAGCAAAACCGAGTCTGCATCAACGTCATCCAGGGGCTTACAGAACTAGATTCTGTCTCTACCACCCCAGCCCTGCCGAGTTCCTGATTGAGTTCTAGATCCGGGCCGAGAATTTGCATCTTCAGTGCCTAAGTGAAGCCAGTGTTTGAGAACCACTTCTGGAGAGTTCCAGAAGAGAGACTAGAGATGGAGACAGCCACAGTGGGCAGTTGGCAGCCATGCGGGTGAAAAGTGAGGCAAGCTGGGAACCATGTTACTATGGTCACAAGTGAGTGTTTTCCAACAAGAATCCAGTTCATGCTGTTTTCTGTTCTGCTGCCACTGCGCAGCTGAAACAAATCTGCTTTTACGCAATGTCAAGATGACGTGAAATCAGAAAAGAATTCCTACTAAGGATAATATAATTCTGAATTAATTCAAAATGATGAGTTCATCTGAGGAGTAGCTTCCCTTAAAATGATTTGAAAGGTTCTCTGGTTTATTCTGGAACTGAACTAGTTCCAAAAAGAGAACCACACCAGGCAGGTATAAAAGTAGAATATTCGTCTGAATATTAGAAATTACAGATAGAGGTACAAACTTTGATCTCATTGTCTTGAATTTGATGAGACTACTAAAGGTCATCTGATCATATCTCTTGCTGCCAGGAAATTTTCCCTTCAGAGTCTTATCAAGAGCTATAGCCATGCTGTATATTTTATTTATAAAGACCCAGAAGGTGAGACTGTTAGGAGAGGTTATAAGTTTGATTAGGAGCTCTGGAATGTTCAGACAGATGCCCAAAGGTGTAGTTTAGACAAAAACTGCATATTCAACATTAAGAAATGCAAATTCTGTTCATTCCTACTCACTAGAGATCTAATAGACATTTTGTTTTTTCTTTTCCTAGGGATTTATCCTGTAATAAAGTAAAATTTATTGAAAGAAGTACATTTGAATCACTCCCCTTTTTGACATCTATGTAAGTTATAATGTCATCTTTGGAATTACAGTAAGTCTTAATTGTAACCCCCCTTGGTAGTCAATCATATTTTGTAATATCATTATAATTCTTACTTGTAGAAAGTTAGCTAGAATTATGTAGCAAATCTTTCTAATCTCCAGAGATATTTTGGGCCAATGTCAGGGTGCTGCAAAATCACCTGCCATGAATTGTCCTAGAACAACTGCCATGTACAGGACAGACCTCCACAAAGAAGAATTACCCAGCTCAAAACTCTAAAGTGCTCAAGTTGTGAAACCTTGTTCCAGAGAGAAGAAATGAAAATCACTGAGCACAAGTATTTGTCGCGTGTGTTTTGGTGTACCTAATGCACCGCCTGTGTAGATGTGAAAGTGTTAAGTCAGAAGCCAGAGTCTTCCAACTGGGAAGTCTTGAGTGTGTGGAGGCGATGTTTCACCTGTACAAATTAGGATCACTGCTGAAAGATGAATGTTCTAAAAGAGTAACTTTCTTCTTAATTTGTGTCTTTTCACAGAAATCTTGGTTGCAATTTACTCACAGAAGTGAGTTTTGGCACATTTCAGGCATGGCATGGAATGCATTTTTTGCATGTGATGTAAGTGAAATACAAGATAAACACATATTAAAGAGCTGTGTATATGTAAAATCTATATAGTTATCCTTAGCTGAGTGTAAGTCATGAACAAATTCTGCAAAGTACGGCTTAAGTTCCACTCTTTTTTTTTTTTTCAAATGAGGACACCAAGGTGCATTGAGGCTCAGGACTTTGTGTGACAGCTGACATGCTCTGCTTTTCCTAGTGCTGATCTTGGCCTTGGGCAAGAGAGCATAGCTAGCAAGTACTACTCCAGTTAGCACTGCTGCCAGAGTCCCCACAGTGCTGCTCGGATTCCCAAAAGCTCCTTGAGATTCCACCCCGAATTTAACTGGGATTGCTGCTCAGTCTGGGGAGCCGAGGTGCTGGTGCTTTCTCAGGGTCACTTTCTTCTAAATGATAAAGCAGAAAGAACAACTGAAAATTCAACACAGTCACCCAGCTCATGGTGTGTTTTGACAAGTGAAGTTATAAACCATCTGTGGGCAAGGGAACTTTTGAAGTAGCAAAGGTGGTGTTTATTTTAAGCTATGATGTGAAAAGTAATAGGAAAGCATTGCTCTAGCCTGATTTTGTGTACATCCAGGGCACACTTGAATGAAATGTTGCAGTTTTATTCCCTCCCTGCTTAACAATTCTGTGATGGTCCACGGCCAGGGGAATTGAGATTTGAGATAGAGATTTTCTTCCAAGCCTGACCTTGGACAAGATAGCCACCTGTCCTGTGGTTCATGATTTCACAGTTCCATTTGCATTCGAGGGAGGGGTTTAAGATGTGCTGGGAGTGAGTGGACCAATACTTGTTGCAGATCCTGGCTGTATGGCCTCCTCCCTCCCTCCATTCATGTGGTGCAGGGTCCCAAGCCTTGGGCCATCCTTCACTGCCCTCTCAGGCCACGAGCATGGAGCCGGATGGGAAGCAGGGCTGCCAGGATTAGAACCAGTGTCCGTATGGGATCCCAGCATGATCAAGCCAAGGACTTCAGTTACCAGGCTACTGGGAAGGCCCATTAAATTATTTTTGTTAATTTATAAATTCTCTGTCATATATATGTATATGTATATAAACTTTTGCACATGTTTATACATAGAGAAGAGGTGTATAATTTTTATCCCATTGCATTTTTCAGAAATCTTGATCAGAATCCATTGACAACTGTCGAAGATCCCTATCTTTTTAATTTGCCAGCATTAAAATATCTGTAAGTATGAAAAATAAACCGCATGAATCATGGGGTGATTTATACTCCTTGTTTTTACTTTGATCAAAATTTAAGTATTTTGCATTGAGGCTAAAAAGTTGCAATTTTAAGTTGAACTGGGCTCCTGGATTAAGAAAAGATGTACAATGTGTAAAACAGCCCCAGCAGACAGTGTTGTTGAGCATATTCAGATACATGTAGAGATACAAAGCAGATGAAAAGATATCAAGTAACCAAGGAGTGAAATAGGCAAATGAAAAGGAAGATAATGGCAACAAACCAAACGGTACAGGTTCTGTCCCTCAGTGCCAAGGTCACTGACTTGACAGTGCAGAGTAACTTAAATTTCTTCCATGAGAACTTCCTGGAAGGATCTGCCCTGACAGACTCTTAAGCTGTCTTGTTTTATAGAGTAGCCAAAAGTTAATGCAACTGCATGCTCTTAACTCTTTTTACTTTTTAAAATATCCTAGTTTTTTGTTTCATTTCAATTTTATTAGATTTTGTTCCTTGAAATCATCTTTTTAAGGACAGAACTTTTTCTTGGGGGGTCACATCATGACTGCTTGGGCTTTCTCCCTCAGAGACCTCGGAAGAACACTGGTGTCAATCAGCACAGTTGAGAACATCCTCATGAAGTCTCTCGAACTGGAAAAACTGTAAGTTGTTCTCTTAGGCTTATGTTTTTGTCATTTTGAAGATTTAATTGCTTTCTTACATCAGAGTTATTCAGGAATAATTTGCACATAATAAAACTTAAGTATGCAGTGTGATAAATTTCATCATTGTATCGTTATAAAACCACCACTAAATTCCTAGATTGCTTCTGACATGCCAAAATGGGCCCTCTGGACCCTTTGCAGTCAACCCTTTCCAACCCAGACACCTGTTGCTTTTGCCTTTTCAACATTGCTGAGTTTTTTTTTTTTTTTTGATGTTAGAAAGATTTATTTTTATTTAATAGCAGATATACAGAGAGGGAGAGACAAAAATCTATTTAATGGTTCACTCCTGAAGTGGCTGCAGTGATCAGAACTGAGCCAATCTGAAGACAAGAGCCAGGAGCTTCTTCTGAGTCTCCCATGTGGGTGCAGGATCCCAAGACTTTGTGCCATCCTCTGCTGTCTTCCCAGGCTGTAAACAGGGAGATGGATGGGAAGTGGAGCAGCCAGGACATGAAATGGCACCCATAGAGCAACTGGTGCTTGGAGGAGGCGAATTAGGCAATTGAGCCGTTGTGATAGGCCCTCGTCAGTGTGTTTTAAGTCATGCAGTGTATGTAGTAGGCTTTAGTGTTGGGCTTGTTTAACTGAGCACAATCTTTGTGAGATTACGCTATTGCCCTGCCATTGGCTCCAGCAGCAGTGCTGTTGCTGAGCAATATCCCAGTTGTGTGAATAGGCCAGTTTGTTTCAGTCACTCATCAGTTTGCATATCTGGACTTTCTCAATTTTTGCAATAATGAATAAAGCTGCTAAAAGCACTCCTAGGCAGACCTTTGTGTAAACATGTTTTCCCTTCCTAGGTGATAAACACAAGGCTAGGGTCGCTGCAGCAACTACTAACTGCATTTTTTCCTCCTTAAGAAACCGTTCAACTGTTTCCTAAAGTGACAGTGCTATTTGCATTGTCACCAGCAGGTTATGGGAGTTGTGATTGCTCCTCTTCTGGTTGCAATCTGTGTGTTTCCATTTCAATTTATTTTATAGTGAGTGGGCAGTGTGGCACAGCAGTTAGAGACGGCTGTTCTCTCCCTGAAACTGTCTGCAGGAAGCCTTAACTCATAAGACAATCAGCTTGGCTATCTTTCACTGCAAGATTTTGTTGTGAGAAAATTCATACCTACATGGGGCCCAGGGTTGTGGCACAGCAGCTTAGGAGTGCTGGTTTAAATCCTGGCTTCTCTGCTTCTAACCCAGTTTTCTACTAATGTGATTGGGAAGGCAACAGAAGAAGACCAAAGTGCCGGGGGTAGGAGACTCAGATGGAGCTCCTGGCTCCTGGCTTCAGCCTGGCCCAGCCCCATCGGAGGATGGAAGATTAACTCTCTTCCTCTCTCTCTTGTGGTATGTGTGTGTCTGTCTCTAACACTCTACTTGTCAAGTAAATATTTTTACCACTGTATTTTTTAAATTATAAATAATCAGTCTCTTATGGATGTTTGATTAATGGATTACATCACAAGATCTTATTACACAATCGCTTCTCCACCTTTTGTCTAAGAGTGAGTGAAGATCTTATTACTCAAAGTACAGGTAAGTATGAAGTGACATAGAGTAAGATTCACATATAATATCCCTAGATTTGACATCATACTATATTAGAGCAAATATATGATACCTGACCTTTTGGGATTGACTCATTTCCCTTAGCATAATGGTCTCTAGTTTGGCCCATTTGTCCACAAAATATTGTATTTCATTTTTTAACACCCAAGTAGTATTGCATAGTGTAGATGAACCACAGTTTTTTATCCAGTCCACTGTTGGTGGGCATTTAGGTTGTTTCCATGTTCTTGCAATAGTAGATTGTGCTGCAGTGAACATTGGCGTGCGTGTTGCTTTCTCATGTAACAAGTCTTTTGGATATATTCCTAGCAGTAGTGGTATTGCTGGGTCATATGGTAGGTGGATTTTTAATTGCCTAAATGTTCTCCATACTGACCTCCACAGTGGCTGCACCAGCCTGCATTCCCACCAGCAGTGGAAGTAGGGTTCCTTTTTCTCCGCAACCTTGCCAGCAGGTGGTGTTGGTAGTTTTCTGCATGTGGGCAATACTTTCCCGTGTTAAGTGGAACCTCAGTGTTGTTTTTAATTGGAATTTCCCCTGTTGCCAGAGAGCTTGAGCATTTCTTCATGTGTCTGTTAGCCATTTGAATTTGTTCCTTTGTAAAGGTCTGCCCATTTACCCCTGCCCATTTCTTGACTGGTTGGTTTGTATTATTGTTCTGGAGTTCTTTGTATATTCAGGAAAGTAGCCCTTTGTCTCCCATTTAGTGTGCAGAGATCTTCTCCCATTCTGTTGATTGCCTTTTTACTTTGCTGATTGTTTCCTTTGCTGTGCAGACGCTTCTTAGCTTAATGAAGGTCCCATTCGTTTATTTTGGTCTTGGCTTCCTTTGCTTTTGATGATTTTTCCAGGAAGTCAGTACATACACCTATATCTTGTAGAGTATTTCCAACTTTTTCTTCCAAATGTTTGATGGTTTCTGGGTGTAGATTTAGATTTTATCCATTTAGGTTTGATCTTTGTGTGTGGTGAAAGGTGTGGGTCTTGCAGACTATTACCAGTTATCCCAACAGCATCTATTGAAGAGACCTTCCTTTTTCCCAGATTGTTTTCTGTTTTCTTGCTGAAGATTAGATAGTTGTGCATGTGTGGCTTCCCTTCTGGATTTTCTATTCTGCTCCATTGAACTACCACTCTGTTTCTGTACCAGTACCAGGCTGTTGTGATAACTACCACCCTATAATATGTCCAAAGATCTGGGATTGTGATCCCTCCCGCTAGGCTCTTATTCTTCAGGATGGTTCTGGCTATTCGTGTTTTTTTGTGTTTCCAAATGAACCTTTGTATCATCTTTTCCAGCTCTGTGAAGAATGTTATTGGTATTTTGATTGGAATCACATTGAATGCATATTTTGCTTTTGGGAATGTGGACATTTTGATGATGTTGACTTTGCCCATCCAGGAACATGGTATTTATCTTCACTTTTTTGAAGTCTTCTATTTCTTCTCTTAACGTTTTGTAGTTTTCCTCATGGAGATCTTCCACATCCTTTGTTAAGTTTATTCCCAGGTGTTTCATTTTCTTCTCTGTTGTGTATTCTCATTTTGGTTACCTTCTATTCTGAAATTCTCTCCTCTGCAACACTGAATCTGTTGTCAAGCTTGCTGCCATATTTTTCAGTTCTGAAATTTCATTTTGGACCCGTTTAATTTCTGTGAGAACTCTTTGAGCTCTTCCCAATACTTCTCATTGTCTATGATGAGTTTCATGTTCATTTTTAATATTCCTTTTCCGGTAGTTCCTCAATGTCTTTTTCTTGCAACTCTGAGACAGGTTATTTTTTGGTCATTTTTGGGGGGAGTACTGGCTCTTTCATCTGAATAGTTTTTCTGGTACTTCTTCCCATTGTTTTGTGCTTTCTTGTCGTTTTGAGATTTTAGCTCTGGTGTGCTTTGGGGGCTTCTGGGAGCACTGAATCTGTCAGCTGCTCTGTGGGTTGTGAGGCCTCTCAGCCAGCCAGGTAACTAGGATGTTTGTCAGCTGCTGCCACCTTGTGGGCGACCAGTGCTTTCACTCTCCTCCTCATTTGCGTTTCCCAGTTTCAGGCAGGGTGTGGAGCTTTGCGACGGAAAGCCTGCAAATTCCAGTTCTGTGTGCAAGCCCCTGCTGCCCGGCGCCTTCACAGCCTCTGCCCGCTGTGCAGTTGCCGAGAGTGGAAATGACCCAGCCTCTGCTACACAGTGTGCAACCAGTGGCTGGGATCTCCGCACTCTGGGGTGCACCACGCCTCATCTCCAATGGGCAAGCGCCGGCTCGGGGTTATGTGGCTTTGGTTTGCCCTGGAATTTGTACCTGCACCGCTGGGTTCTCCTGCGGTCTGCTGGGTATTGGCACTAACCTACCCTCATGCACTTTTGGAGTCTGCTCTTACGCTGCTGGGTCACTGAGAGAAACCTCTGACCCTGGGGCTCCCACATCTCTGTGTTAGGGGCTTCTGGCATCCCTCTGGGTGGCCCAAGTCTGAGAAACCTTGGGTGGGGGTGGTCTCAGGTCTTGCCGACTGTGTCTCCAAACTGCACCTTTCACTTCCCAACTATCCTTTCTCCAATGCCGTTCCCTCCTCTGGGAGAGGCTGCTCATATCTGTGCCTATAGCTTCCTCATTGGGCCATTTTTTTAAATCCCACCAGTGTCCTGATCTGAGAGTCCTTCTGACTCCCTCTGTCTCTTATGGGCAGGCTAAGGCTCCTGCTGGTGTCTTCCCTGCATCGATTCATGACTCACCAGGTTTTTACTGAGTCCTTGCCTGTCCCGGATGGTATCCTGGTATCCGTCTCCACAAGCTCAAGCGGCAGGTTGCCATCCTGAGAGTTCTTCCAGGTTCTCTCTTGCCTGTGTGAAAGTTGCCTCAGTTTCGCCGACTCCAGGGAGCTTCGGACATCTTTTCCTGCAATTCTGCACTTCCTGCTCTCTCTTCTGCTTAATTCTGTCCCTATCTCTCCACACACTCAGCGGCACCCTCAAGTAAATATTTTTACAAATTCAAACTTACTAGACAGAATATAATGGTTGCCCATATACCTGTCACATAGATTTGGAGTAGCCTGTCTTCTTCCCTTCCTTATTCTCTTCTTCCCGCCTTCCCTTCCTTCTTCCTTCAGACAGTTTCACAATAATGCCAGAGATGAAAGCATAATTGAGACCATAAATAAGGTATAGATATATGTATATACAATGAAGTCATCACCCAACTCCAAATGTCTACCACATCAACAGGTCCTTATATCTCTTTGGAACCCTCTGTTCCATCACTCTTGCTCTCCCCGGTGCCTGTGTAAGTCTCAGCATCTTTCTGTTACTATCATATGCATTTTCTAGAATTTTATATGAATGGAATTATATGCTATGCACTCTTTCTAATCATCTTTATTTATGTAATACGATTAAGACACGACTGTTGTCTGTTGAAATAGCTCATTTCTTTTTCTAGTGGAACAACATCTCATTATGTGAACTCAGTATCATTTATCCACTCATCTGTGGCCAGACACTTGGGTTCTTTCCATTTTTGGCTATCCCAAATGAAGCTGTTACAAGAGCAGCAGTAAGCCACCACCTGGGACACTCATACTCACATCAAAGTGATTGAATTCAAGTGCCGGATTCATTTCCAACTCTGGCTTCCTGCTAATGTGCACCCTGGGAGGCAGTAGCTGATGGCCCAATTTATTGGGTTCTTGCCTCCTATGGGGGGGAGACCCAAGTTGAGTTCTGGGCTCCCAACGTCAGCCTGGCCAGCCCTGACTGTGGTAGATATTTGGAGTGAACCAGCTGATGGAACGTTTCTGTTTTTCTCTCCACCTTTCAAATAATTTTTAAAAATATGTCTCAAGAAAAGCTTTTAATCAAATTAGTTTCAGAGTATTCATAAAAACTTTAAGACCTACCATATGTTCCAGCTATTCTACTTCTGAGTATTTATTGAGCTTTACCTGACACCTCCCAGGGTGTTCACTGGAAGAAGGGGAGACAGGATTCAAACCCAGGTGCATGGAATGTGGGTTGCTAAGCAACATATTCACCATTGGGCTAAATGCCTACCCCTGGCAAACTTTTTGTAAACCCCAACATTGACTGAGAGATCCTTTTACTCTGTATCTTTCTTCAACAATTGCTAGAGTCAGTCTTTTCTGCAGCTAGAGTAATTTCTAATATTAGATCCTTCGAACAGCAGATGAGAAAGGCATTCCCAAGGCTGGGGGCTCTGACTCCTTCTCACAAGTCTGACATTATCCCAGAGTGAGACTTGTGAGCTGGGAGGAGATACTCCTGAGTGACAGTACTGACCAGTGGCACTCGCTTCCAGCCCCTGTCACCTTTATCCCGAGCATACCACACCCCCTGCCTTGCTTACCTTTCTGTTGGGCACCTCTGCATCCTTCCCATATTTGCAACATTTAAGAGCAGCACTTGGTCATCAGGTTCCCAGCCACATAGCCTGATGCCACATCTCAAGATTACCTTTTTCACAGCCTTGGCCTGCCTCTTGACCTACTCAGATAATCCTTTAATTATTAGCTGAATTTTCTGTGTTTCCTTTTAACAGGATCTTACCGAACTCCATGGCCTGCTGCCTCTGCCAATTTAAAAAGGATATTGAGGCTGTCTGCAAGACAGTCAAGCTGCACTGTTGCAGTGAGTGTCTGACAAACACTCAATCTTGTGGTGAGTCTCAAATGCCTGGTGATTTTAATTTCTTATTTGTAAATTAGGATAAATGCTTAAAGCTATTATGTAATTATTTTAGTTCATTCCTTCAGAGTAAAACTCTCAATTTCTGAACTACTCTCTCAATGAACATCAGGCTCCCAGTGACTGATAGGAAATTTGATGCTCTAACTGTTCCTTGTGCATAAAGAATCACAGGAAAGAAATGGAAGGGAAGGAATTAACGCTGAGGGCCACATGGTGCACTGTGCTCTCAGCTTGGTGCTTTGCTTCCATGAGCACTCATTTGTGCACTGCACCACAGTGTGTAGCCTGCTTTTATACACAGTAGGCCTCCAGTGCCTCTGCCCTAGAGAACAGGTGTAGAACATTGTTGTTGGCTTGTTTTTGCAATTGTGGAGAAGAGTATAAGTGACACTGCTTTATTCTGAGCCTTGGAGTTGGTGGTTCCAAGACAGGTGTGGCTGCCTGGCTCCTCTGATGGAGTGGAATGCCATCCACCAGTAGACAGCCCAGCTCTGAACCTGCTCCGAGGCTCAGGCTTCTCATTGGGCAGTCACCCAGGGACTTTGCTGTGGTTTTCCGGATATCTGGAGTCCCACTAAGTAAGTAACTAAACTCCACCAACTAACTTGAAGTCCCACTAATGTTGGGATTCCAGACAAGACTGCTCTATTCTCCCTAGAGCTTGGATACACATCTCTGTCAGGATCCAGGACTTCGGCATACTAGTGAATGCCAAACAGTGTTGTTTGTTATCGAGCACACTTTTCCACCTATTAACCCCTTCTCTCCAAGAGGGGGCAGAACAAACAATTTAATGGACTTTCACAGAGAGGAGAAACAAGATGGAGGCATGAAGGGATGAAGCCAGACACCCGGTCTTCTGTCCACCGTTGACTCTCCACGCACTCATGTTCCTTCTTTCTCATGACGCTCACCTCCGCCTCTCACTATCACAGCAGGGCCTGGGAGAGAAGCCCAGCCACACAACAGCACACTTGACCTTCCTGCACTTGGAAGTTTGAAGGCTTCCGCAAGTCAAGCTGGAAATACTAGAAATGAAAGCAAAAACTGGCATTTGCAAAAGCAGCCTCTTCCCCCCCCCTTTTTTTTTTTAAAAGATTTATTTATTTTTATTGGAAACTCAGATTTACAATGAGAAAGGGAGACAGAGAGAAAAACTTTTATCCACTGGATCACTCCCCAAGTAGAAGCCATGGCCAGAACTGAGTTGATCTGAAGCCAGGAGCCATGAGTTTCTTCTAGTCTCCCACCTGGGTACAGGGTCCCAAGGGTTTGGGCTATCCTTGATTACATTCCCAGGCAACAAGCAGGGAGCTCAATGAGAAGTGGAACACCTGGGATACGAGCTGGTGCCCATATGGGATCCTGGTGCATACCGGGTGAGGACTTTAGCCACTAGGCTACCACACCAGGGCTCCAGCCTCTTTCCCTTTTACATTTTAGGGCATTGAGCAACATTTACCCAGACACTGCTACCACCCCAGAGAGCTCACAGAACAATCTGTGCATGCGTACCACCTAGCAACCCACAGACCACTCCACCTACATCCCAGACCCCTGGCCATATTTAAAGACCAAGGGTTGATGCGGTGGTTTTCTCTATGAGGAACCTTCTGTGATAAGGGCTAGGAAACATTGAGCAGGGACCAAGTAACTGTTGCCTTGGTGGAAAAGGACACATCCAGAGGAGGAGTAGGCCCCTGTTTTAGCATCTGTGCCTTCACTCCCCTCATGTGAATGTGTCTGGCCATGGTCACCTGTTGACAGCAGCAAGAAGGCAAGGTCGCTGGAGAGGGGGAGAGAGGAAGCCTTGTGCCCCCTGGGTGTCTGAGGCAGGACGGTGCAGGATGTGTCTGTGAGGCAGGCACTTCCACAGGGGCCAGCTGCATGGAGACTGTCTCCCGGCCATGGGCTTTTACTGGGTGCTGGGCAGTTGGCCACTGGGGAGACAAGGAACAACCCTAAACAGTGACTGCTTTTTCATACTCAGGACTCTTCTGATTACACTCTTTTTAAAAATCACTTTTTTCTTCCTTTCTGTTGCTGCCATTTCATAGACTTAAGCTTGGGTTAATTTTTCTTCCTATGTGGTAACCAAATCTTGGTGATTCCGAGCCTAAACTGCTGGGGATGTATGTCTGTACACTGACACTCAGTTTCCTGGTAACGAAAGCATTCTCTTCCTTTCTGACAGTACCAGAACCAACGACGGGGAATCCCAAAGCGGAATTCCTGAAGATACTGCAGGCCCGGAAGAGGAACACTAGCACGAAATTGTTGAGTCAGAGAATTCAGAGAAACATTAAGTTTGGCATTCTAGACTCTACAAGTGAGCGACTAGACTTAAATGAAAAAGATGTTATCAGTTCACTCAATTACGTATTGCCTTATTTCTCAGGCAGCAGTGTAGAAGACATAGAGTCAGTGTTACTACCCTTCATTAAATTGTTCTTTTCCAGTCCACAAGAAGATAGATCTGTGGATCACTTGAAAACCAATCCAAAAGACTTGTCTTTAAAATCAAATGAACGTAAAATGAGAAAGATCCACTTTCTGAAAAATTTGATAAACTTGAGAAAGATCCACTTTCTGAAAAATTTGATAAACTACAAAATTCAACAAAAAATTGATGACATTAAAAAAACACAAAAAGCTGCCATGCTGATGCAGCAGGAGACAATCAGGAGGAGAGAGAACACGCGCCCCCTTGTGGAGGGCACCGTGCAAGGCCGGCTGGGGAGCGCAGGAGCCAGGGAGCAGGAGGAGCTTCATGTGGCCCAGAGGCCCTGGCACCTGGTGGCCAACTCCTTCTACCCAGAGCCCCCACTCACAGAGGAGCACAATGCCAGGGACGCCTCTTCCCTGAAGAGGTACATCGTGGGCAGGCCATCTGCTGCAGCCCGTGCAAAGTCTCTCTCTGAGCCAGAAAAAACATTGAATATTTTAAAAATAGCAAAAATTAGGCCAAAAAAGACAGAGGCAGCAGAACCAAGTTTATATGATGGAGTGAATTACCGCTTAATTGATCCTCATGCTGTCTTCAGAACATCTAAGACCAAAGTGGGAGCAGAATCAGAGTCCAGAGGGAATTACCACCTGAATAATATTGATCTCTCTCCAGTGTTCAAAACCAAACGGAGACTGAAGATGAAAAGGAAAAATCCCATCAACACATGGAGCTCTGTAAAGAGGCCTGCGTTCCTTGCCCTACAAAGTCTCATTGATTCCCCTCCCCGAGAGCCTTCTCCCTCTTCTGGAGACTCGAGTTCTCAGGAATTTCCTTCTCCGAAAGCGATGGCTCTTCCAGTACCACATGCAGAAGATATTCTTGAAGCCAGCCTTGCTGCAGCAAATAACTTAGGAAACACTGTGCCAGAAGAATCTCCCCCTGCCAGCACAGCCCAGGGGCATCCATTGGCCACTGGTTCCCCTGAGATTGCCCCCACTGAGAAAATGCAATGGGGGAACCCTAACATGGGCAGGGACATCCCCTCCATGCCTACAGGCAGTACTTACCCCTTGCAGTCATCCCCAGGGCACCAACTGAACCAGCGGCTTCGGTCCCTCATCCCCAATAATGACGTGAGAAACTTTATTTTAATAGTCATCAGGACTCTGCAGATGGACTGTGCGGACCCCCAGGTGCAGCTGGCCTGTGCCAAGCTCATCTCCAAAACGGGCTTCCTCATGAAGCTCCTCAGTGAGCAGCAGCAAGTGAAGGCCAAGGCAGAATGGGACACAGCCCGCTGGAAAGAAGAGGACTACATCAGCGAGAGCCCAGGAGGCCAGACTGATGCAGGAATGATCGAGCCAAGTGAGGTGAGGACGGCCACGAGACAGGAGAGCTGCCCTTTCCTGTCGTTTAGGAAGTGTCATTAAAGCACCAAGGAGGAGGAACAGGGGCTCCCAGTCCATATCTTGCATTGGGCACATAACTTTGGCCAAGCTGGCAATTTCCCACTTTGCTCCTTTAGAGAATGAAGCAGACCCGACAAGCCAGATGAACTGCAGAGTACCCGTGTGATAATTAGATCATGTAACTTTGGATCTTATGTGGTCTTGAAGATCCTATAAGCCACTCACCTGGAAGAATACGGGCTGGAATAGTTAAGTGTTCATGCTATCTCTTTATTTGATCTCTTTTCATTGCTCTTTTTCTTTTAGCTCAAAGAAGTCCCAAGATACAGCCGTAACAAAATACTCATCATGGCAATATCTGTCACTGTAGCTGTGATGATCTTAATAACGGGAGCCTGGCTCGTTGGGGTAAGGACAACGATTCACTTAGATTTCTAGAACATCCTTTTTTTTTTTTTTTTTTTTTTTTTACAACAGGTTTGAATGCAGAGTGAACATCAAAGCCACTTGCCCACATACTGCCAGTTGACGTTCTTCTATGGTCACAAAGACATACTCTCCTGAAAAGCATATGCTTGAGATTTTGAATAGACCCTACTCCCAGGAAATCTCAGTGCAACTGGAAACTAGGTAGCAAGCCAAGCCACTGGCTATTGTGAGAGGTGGAAGACCAGACTTCATAGATAACAAGATTTCCCCACAGCTATGTCAACTGTTTGATGTGCTTACCACTTCCCTCTCTGCTCCTGTTGGTCTCTCTTCTCGTTGTTGAAATGATGAGCGCTGTATCAGCACCCTCACCTCACAGAATGGTTACTGTCCTCAGGACACTGCCAGAAAACATGTTAAAGATTCTACCTGTTCTAATACATAAGGCAGGTCTAAAGACAGGTTGTTTATGTACCTGAATGTAACTGAATCCTGCTTCCTAAGCTGAACCCTGAGGTGTGCTGTATTTATCCTATCCCATTCCTGGAGCCTGACTCTGTTCACCTATTGTTCAGTTACATAAAGTGCATTACTTTTCCCAACAGGAAAGGGCTTGAATATGAAGTCATTGAAAGATCTGACGGTCTTGACTCTACCCTAGCAGTCCAACCCAGTTTACTTCACTGACACTTCCTGTCATGTCAGCCCTGTCTGTGTTCCTGCCTGAGTGGCCCCTTACCATACCCCGGCCACACCATGGCCATTCCTACTTTCACCTGTGCCTTTTCTACCTAAAATTCCCTCACTTCATGGCATGCCTTGACTCCTCCAACTCTCTTGGGACTAAACCTTCTGTGAGATGGATCATCGTTTCTGTGAAACCACAGAGAGGTATTTCCTCTCCCCTGAGAACTTTAAAAATGTGGCAGTTTTCACAAAGGGAAGTGCCAAGGTCAACACGCGAGGGAGTACAGCAAAGGTATATAAGGACTAAAGAGCTTCCCAGGTCTATTGGCCTCCGGTAACACCCGCCTAGTGTATCACTGTTTCTAAAGGCAGACATGCCAGCCACAGCAGGGGATGGTGACAGGAGCACAGAAAGATGAGAGCCCACCAGCATGCTAGTGGCCATCCTGACATTGCACTAGGGCAGAGGGACAGCCCCAGGCAGATGTGGAGGCAGCCCCCTGGTGAGGCTGAGCCTCTGCAGGAGAGGGACAAATCTGGCCACTCCAGACCTTTCCATTAAACGCTGGGTTCAGCTGATTCCTTTGCATCTTTGTCCTTCCCAAGTTGCCTTCTGATAGTGCTTGAGTGTGCCATGGAGGCCTGCCCCTGCAGAGGCAGCTCCCTGGTCATGCAGTCACAGCTGTTCTGTCTTTTCACTCAGGCTGTGGTGCTGATCAGGTGAGGTTGTTTCCAGTGAGTTTGCTGTTTGTGAAAACAGTCTGATTTCTGAACCCTGGAGCTGGGAGCCACATGGGGTCAACTGCCAAGGGGTCGGTGGAGACAGTATCCTGGATATCTCCAGGTGGCCCCTGGTCTTTGCCTTCGGGGAAATGGCTGAAATTTTGATCAAGTCCTGCGTTATTTTAATGTGTATGTTTAGTTCTGGCTTACTTCTCTTTGTATTCATTCATGTTTTCCTGAGTTCCTCTCCCCAGTTAGATGAGAAGGTTTGTGAGGTCAGGGAGTATGCAGAGTTTTGCCTGTATTAGAAAGATAGTAAGTGTTCAGAGGATCAGAGTTAGGTACAATGTCAAGTTTACGGTGAAGAAGAATGCAATATAATATTCATTTGAAGCAGCATACAGAGTTGAGAGTTCAGTAATACATAGACATGTGTGTTCCTAAAACTTCTGCAGTGTTGCCTCTAGCCTAATCAGTTTGAGAAAACGCTGCCTAGCTGCCTAAGAACTTGGGTTGAATGGCAGACAGTGATAGATGGATACTTCTCATCCTAAATGTATTTCAGTTAATGTCTTTAAAAAAAGAAGACAAAAAGATACTGAGAATAAATTTCAAGCAGTATTTTTCAGTCTTGGGATGGAAAAGAGCTTTCTAAGCCCAGTGGCATAGGAGAAACCTTTGAAAGATTTGTCTGCCTGTGTGTGACACTGCTAGCTGACTCAGCACTTGGGGAGGTCAGGCTTGGGGCAGAGTCTCCCCTGTGTTCTCAACTTAGCCCTTGCAGCAGTTCCCCTTTCACAGGTCATGGCAATCAAGCTATGGGCCCAAATGACAAAGCCAACGTCAGACCCAGATCTCCTGACTGCAAAGAATGCATTCCTCATTCCCTTTGTTCTCTTTCCCTTCCTTACAAACACACTGAGAAATACTGGAAACACTTGAACAAGAAAAAGGCCACCAAAGAGATTAATATATTTATTGTATTAAAAAAAAAAAAAAAAAAGGTTTCTAAACCAACAACAGCAAAATAAAAGCTAACATCCCAACAGAAGGGGGCGCACTCTGGGATGGATAGGGAGTTGCTAGCACATAGCCCTGCACCTGCCAGTCTCACATTTTGCTGATGGGATCTGAGTTTTGTTAGGTTCTTGAAACTGATAGAGTAGTAGCATATTTTCTTCTAGGACTCTTGTAACATTTTGTTCTAATTTCTATTTTGTAATCCCTCTGGAGTTATTTTTCAATATGATTGAAGTAGGGAATCTAGCTTATCTTTCTCTACATGAGTTTCTAAATCTTCTAAAATAATTTTTCTTTGAACAGTTCACTCATTCCTTACCAATCTAAAATATCCTGACCTGGACTCTGCTCTTTCCATCGACTCTGTGGTCTTTTCTTCCACCCATACCTGTATCACACAGGTAAACTCCAGTCACTTTATGGCTTAGTTCTGAGTTTTATATTTGTTAGAGCGAGCTCCTGCTCTCTCATGTTTCTTGCACTATTCTTGCCCATCATTCCCCACTGAATGGCAGCCGGTCAGTTTTGTAAAAATGTATCTTCGGATTTGTATAAAACTGAATTGAATTATTTTGATTGATTAATTTGAGGAGAATTGACATAATCACAACATTATAGGAATGCAAGTCTCATGGCTTTCAAAAGGGCTTTAGTGTTTTCATTACACAATCTTACACATCTTTTGTTGAGCTTATTCCAGGATAAGCTTTAATCCTTTCTGTTGGTTACAAACGGGACCCTTCTTGCGTTTTCCCATTAGTTGTTGGCAGCACACAGGAAAGCTACCACAGCATGTATGTTGATCTCTTGACCTGGTGTCTGGCCAACTTTCTGGACTCGCATATTACTTTCCACAAAAATGGTAGTTGATTTTCTTGGGTTTTCCGAGTTGTCCATCATTTCACATTCAGATGACATCTGTTTTGTCTTCCTTTGTGACACAATACTGTATTTGTCTTTTTGAAAAATTGATACTCAAGATTTACCTATTCTTATTGGAGAGACAGTGCTGTTCCACCCATTGGTTCACTCTAAATGTCTGCAACAGCCAGAACTAGTCTGAAGTCAGGAGCCTGGAGTTGCTGTGGGTCTCCCACACAGGCACAGGAGCCCAAGCACTTGGATCATCCTCTGCTGCTTTACTCAGGCTGTTGGCTGACAGCTGAATCAGAAGTACAGCAGCTGGGACTCGAGCCATTGCACAAATGGGATACTGCACTACAGGTAGAACTAAACCTAAACACCATTGCACTAGTCCCTATTTTAGGGCCTCCTCAACAGTGGTAAATAGTAGCAATCCTACTAAGAAGGCCAAGTCTCCTTGACTTCTCTGTTTACTTTTCTGATCCAATTAAAGATGCTTCATCTTTTCCTCTTCAAAGAGGTTTCATGGAGAATTGTCTGCTGAAAGTTATCTAAACAGCCAGTAAAATGTATTAGGCGCCAGATGCATACAAAAAGAAAGGCATGCAAATGATCTGGACATGGTGGTCACTGTGTTGCATAATAATGGCTGTGTCTTCTTCCAAAACAGATTTACTCTCACAGGGCAAGAGCCGACGCCGAGGAGGAGGACATAGGAAAAGGTCTAAGGTAAGTACCAGCCCAGTAATGTGTGAAATGAAACTCGAGAACTAGAAGAGAACACATGGATTCCAGTCACCTCATTGTTTAGTGAGATCTCCACAGACAGGAAGCATACTTCACAGCTGGGGTAGACAGCACCACCATGGCACCTCTGCTGTCCCCAGTCCTTCTTGGATGCAGGGGCTGGGGAGGGACTCCAGCTGTGCCATCCCTGCAGCTGACAGTACTTTGACCATACCAGAGGGCTTCCTGAAGGCTTCCAGCAAGGGCTAGGGGAGTCTGTGTTGCACTGTGGGAGGAGCTGGTCTCCTTAAAGAAGGCAGGAAAAGTTCTTCTCATCCTGCTTGTCTTTATTTTTTTTAATCTGTTTTTCTTTAAGATTTACTCTATTTTTATTAGAAAGACAGATTTACAAAGAGAAGGAGAAACAGAGAAGGATCTTATGGGTCTCCCGTGAAGGTACAGGGTCCCAAGACCTTGGGCCATCCTCCACTGCATTCCCAGGCCACAGGCAGCGAGCTGGATGGGAAGTGGAGCTGCCAGGACACAAACTTGTACCCATCTGGAATCCCCGCAAATGCAAGTCGAGGATTTAGCCAATGAGCCATCACACTGGTCATGTCTTCTCTCTTCTAACCAAGCTTCTAAGAGCTTTAACTGGAAGAGATCTTCAAACTAAAGAGAAGTCTGTCTCTTCATTGTATGACAAGGAAACGAGAAAGAGGCAGCATCTTGGCCCCAGGGTCATACTGTTAACATCAGAGGAGGGTCTCTTCCCAGCTGGGGCTCCTCCCTGGCTTGTAAGGGTTTGGGGCTGTGAGCTACGTTTTCTGTCAGAAATCAGCACCCATGTACCACACAGGCACAGTTGCTGAAAACAATGCACTCTCCTGTTCTGCTGGATTCATAAGGGGTATCTTGGTGTCAGTGCGAGCCTCATCCTTTAACTAATTTCACTCATCACTCTCCCATCAGTGACACCTGCAGTGTGAGGCTGCATGAGCTAGGTAACTGCTGTCAGACTCAGGCCCTGCCTGATGTGATTCAGTTTACAGGGGTCAAGGACTGTGCACATAGAGGCACCTTCTCCCTCACCCCCAGGTGAAGGAGGCATGTGAGACTCAGTCCAGGTGGGGCTGGTGCCAGATGCTAAAGGAGGGAGACAGTGCACGTGCCCCATGTGGTTGTGCGGTCTGTCACTGCACAAGGGCGCTTGGGGAAGGCAGTGGTTGGGGCTGACGACCTCACACAAAGCAGTGGTTCAAGTTGGCCCTTAGCCACTGGGGCACCTTCAGGCAGATCGGAGAGCTCCCAGAAGCCCAGATCCCAGGTCTGTGGTGATTTTGCTTTGTGGTATATGTGGGACAGGGACACGTTTTGTCCCGGGCACACCAGAGATGTGCGGGCCATGGAGAGTGACACCAGTCTCTGATTGGCTTGGGCATTTGTTTTCCCCCAGGGACCTTTACGAAGATTCCCTCAAGGAAAGACGGGAGAAGAAGCAGGTAAACTGGGGGACACAGTGTGTCGCTGGAGGGAGGGATGGTGGGAGTAGGGGCAAAACATGCATTCCCCTCCCCATTCCTAAGGGTGCTAAACCTCCTGCATTTTCCTAGGTGGGCTTCTTGGTGAGGTGGCTGCGCTGGCTGAGGGGTGAGCGCAAACCCCGCCGGGCAATGAGCCAGAAGTAAATGGCTCAAAGGTTGTATAATGAAACCTCTGACGAGGAAGCAATCTTCATGAGAGGGGCAAGGTAAATGACAGACTGCCTTCCCCACGTTACCTAACGGAAGCAAACGGGGCGGGCAGAGAGGAAAAGTGGCCTGTTCTGTTCCCCACAGCATGAGCGAAGGCCCGGGCGAGATGGCGGCCGCTGAGTCGACTGCCGAAGGAGAAAGTGAAGCCCTTGAGGAGGTGCTCACCGAGTAAGCCCTTTTGCTGGGGCTGCCTCCATTTATAAAAGCACTTCCCTTCTAATATTCGTGTGTGTGGTATTCATAAGCCATCCCAGCCAAGATGATAAGAAATGAAAGTCTACGTTTTATACAAATCACAAGGCCACAGGCAAGAAAGGCTGGTCTGCATCTAGAAGCCTCCGAGGTAGAAAAATCCTCCCGTGGCGGCACCATGGGCACAGGACGAACAGGGGTCCCACCACATGCCCCCAACAGTCAGGTTCTAGGACATGAACATGTCAAACACCGGGCATTCCAGTGCCTTCTCCCCTGGCTTATTAAGAACCAGTCATTTACCACAGAGGACCTGCCACACTGGCCCCTCTGAGGTCTTTCAGGTTGCCTGGATATTTGGATGTTGAAGCCTCGTGCCCTGTGGCGACCTGTCCTGCCTTTTCCCCAAGCCCACAGCCTCAAATGTGAATGTGTCTCATGCTGTTGGAAGGGGCACTTGTCCTTACAAGTCAGTGGGAAAGTTCTCTGGTCTGGCTTTCTCTGCATGCTGGCCCAAGTTACCTCACAATGTTCCTTGCTAAGAAGGAAAAACACATTGTTCTCGCCCGCTGACTTCAGTGAGCCAGCTAACATTCCTGAGTGTGAAACACAAGACTAAGCAGTGGTGGCAGTGGGTGGCTATGGAGACCACCATTTCTGATTTGTTTACTTGGGGCCTAGCCCTGGAACAGGCATTTCTCAGTCTTGTATCTATCCCAGGAATCCATGGACTAGAGTTTTCTGTTTGGTCTTTAGACATCATTTCCTAGAGAAGGAAACAGAGCCCAAGGAACAGAGGTGACCCGCCCTAGGCCACACATCCACAAGGGAGGACTTAACCCAAGGCTGTCAGACTCCCAAGTTTCCTACACCATTCTGCTCCTCCACTCTAGGATGCAGGGATAAAGGGCTGCCATCCAGGTCAGTAACCTTGGTAGCCACACAGATGGAAAGACAGGGACCACTGCTATTTACTAAACACCAGCATGGCCAGGTACCATCCTGGACAGTTGTGTCGCATCAGTAAGTCACAAGGACATCAACTCTCCCCATGCCAGCTCCCACTGCATCCCTGGGGGATGTTCATTTTAACGAGAGTGTAGGATATAAAGAGGAGCTGAACATGTAAAGGATAAGAAAATTCATGCGGATGGCCACACCTTAGGGAAGCTTTAGCAGTAAGGTAGAAGTTACCTGTGGTAGAGCACCTGGCTTCTGCCAGCACTGGTAGGCTGGGGGCCTCAGGGTGTGGGATTTCAGGGAGCCTGGGAGTGGTGCCAGCAGGTGAATGCAGGAACCTAGGACTTGTGTCCAGAAAAACAGAGTGAGCCTGAGGATTTCTGCATGTACTTGATCCCAGGCAGGGGCTCGGGGTATAGCATGCTGGGGTGGCATGCTGGTGGACTGGGCTAGGGGAACGGAACATGCTTGGATCTTGGGTGGGCAGAGGAGTAGGAAACAGGCCAGTATGCATGCCTGGAGCCTGGGTCCCTGGTGGGTCGGCAGAGCTCAACACCAGCACACCACCACCCCATTGGAAGACTGGGCTGGGGAACCCATGTGTTCCTGGCGCAGGGACTGTGGATTGCTCAGGGAAGAGGGTATGGGGATGTGTGGGAGGGAGGACTGCTGAGGAAGTATGTTGCAAGTGAGGAATGACTTCTGGGGGACCTCAACCAAGAAGACCACTATACTTGGCAGGTCAGTGAGGGAGCTGAGGCTGAGCAGTTGGAGGAGGGAAGCTAGAGGACCTTTCTGGGTCAGACCAATGCACCTACCCATGTGGGAGACCCTAGCTGGGCTAGTGAACCTTGACCACTGCTAACCGGCAAACACCAGCTCACACTAAAGCTAGCACTGTGGTTCTTCCTGGCAGGGCTTGATCATAGTACCTACCAGTGAGTGTCCAAACAGGGAGCTGGTAATGTTAGGCTAGGCCATGACATTAACCAACACATGAGAGAACCAGGTCTGGGGGCAGATTCTGTGGGGGATACATGGGCTTTCTCCTGTGGAACTGTAATATCTGCTGGTTTGCTCAAGAGCTGGGAGGTGGTGATGGCCTGAGCTACGCATGATCGTGGAATCCCCTAACACTTATGGGCACTGGAGTTGAAACAGGCTGGGCTGGTCCAGGCTGCACCACTCACAAGAACACCCAAGAATAAGCTGGGTGGGCCTGGCCACAACATCCACCAACTCACCTAGAGGCCAAGACACGGTGGGGGAACTTGGAGAACTTCCTGGTGGGCCATAGCTCCCATTAGTAAGCATATGATTCAGGTCTGGGTGTTGGTCAGGCCTGGCAAGGTGCTCCACTTGTCAGCAGATGTATGGGTTGGTTTTGGGCAGGGCCGAGCCAAACTAGCACATTGGCATGTGTAGGAGCTAGGGTGGAATGCAGGCTATGCTGGTCTAGGCTAATTACATCATCAGTTTGTGTGAAAGCCAGGGATGGTGAGAGGTTGGGCAGGGCTAGGATGAAGCACCCACCAGCAAGAGTTGGAACTGCGAGTGCACTGAGACAGGTCAGGCTACAGCATGAATTGGCAAAAGCCAAGACTGGGTGGGCTATGCTAGGCTGTGCCAGAACAATCAATGGCACACACAAGATCTGTGGTTGGGATCAGGTCTGGTTGGGGAGCTAAGGGCGATGCCCTGGAGGTTATGGTTCCAAATGGTAAGCACGAGAACTGGGATGGGTTGGCGAACTGTCCTGGACATGACTATAGTATACCTCAGCATGGGTGTAGATTGGGTCTGGGTTGTGCCAGATTGATTGGATCTTGGGGTGGACCATATGAGCTTGGGCTGTAACATGCAACAGTAAGAGCCAGATTGACTGTGGGCTGTTTGGGCAAGGCCACTATTCCTACTAGGATAGGAGGTGGGCCCAGTCAGATTGGGCCAAGGACCCACCAGCGTACGTGAGATCTACCACTGGGAATTGACCTGATAGAGAAACTCAGGGAAATTCTGTCAGGATTCAGGCCCTGCAGATGAGCATAAGAACCAAGGCAGAGATCAGCCCATCCCAGGCCAGGTTACAGTACCCACTGGCATTCATGTGGGTCAAGTCTGGAGTTGGGCCAGGCTGGGCCAATTCATAGCACCCACTGGCAGATGTGAAAACCAGGACAGGGTGCAGGACAAGTATGGTTGGACTGCACCACCAACCAGTTCACGTTAGGGCCAGGACTGAGTGTTGTCCAGGTTGGACCAGGCTGCAACATCCACTGGTAAATGCCAACCTGAAGCCAGGTATGCCAGACTGGGCTGCAGGACCTACCAGCACAAGTAACACTTGAGGGGATATACTTGGCAGGGGGCCAGTGGGGCCTCCCCTGCTGGGCCAGTGTTACTGCTGCTGAGCATGAGACCTGGGACCAGCAGGAGCAGAACAGGATAGGCAGGGTTACAACACCCATTGGCGTTCATGTGAGCCAGGTTGGGCTAAGTGAACATAGCCACTGGTGCATTTATGAGCCAGAGTAAGTGCAAGCTGGTCAGGCTTCACCACGGTATCAGCTGGCAAGTGCTGGAACTAGGGGCAAGTCTCGTCCAGCTAGACTACAGAACCACCTGAAGAGTGTAAGATCAGGGCTTGGAATGGGCCTAGTAGGGAAACTGGGCACCTCTCTGATGTGCTGCAGCTCCCACCAGTAAGAATAAGAATTAGGGCTGGGGATGGACCTGGTTGGACAGGCAGTAGCACCCACCAGCATAACTGTGGGCTGGGCAGTGGGGTTGTTTAGGCTGAGCTAGCCTGCAGCACCCAGTGGTGTGTAGAAAAGCCAAATGGTATATGGGACAGACTGGACCAGTCTGTTGGCGTATCTTGCCTGCACAGGAACCATAGCTGGGGGGTGGCCTGGTGGGGGTAATTGGAAGTCGCTCTGACAGGGTTGCTATTGCCACTGGTATGCTTGAGTGCCTAATGTGTTGTGGGTATGGTTGGGCTGGGCCACACTATCCATTGGTTTGTGTAAGAGATGGGTCTGGGGGCGACAGAACTGACCCAACAACTGCAACCACCAGTGTGCGTGTAGGCTGATGTGGGTGATGGACTGAACCAGACCCCACCCTGGCTTCCCATAAGTGATGTCTGAGGTCACTTCTGGTGAGGTTTCTCTGGGGACCCCCCCAACTGGACCACTGGACTGAGAACACCAATCGTGGGGGAAAAAAACACAGGATCTACGGTCTGATCATGGGCTGCATGTGTCAGAATTGACCTTAAGCTGCTGAAGATGGAGCAGCGACGGCATGCCCAGATGTACATGGAGGATGTGGAAATTCACTGGGGCCTGCAGAGGACATCTAGTACCACAGCAGAGGATGGAGGGCAGAACAAATTGGACAACTCTCCCAGCCAAGGTTTGCCAGGAAGTATATGGGTGAATGAAAATTGAGATGGAGTATGTCAGCCAGTGGACCTTGAAAGGGTTTCTAATCCTTGGAGCAATGAAATCAGCAAGCATTTCAAAACTATCAAAACTGCTCGAGCAGTGCCCTTGGAGCATGCTCCACATTCAGGACCCTGGGATGACATTGGCTATCCCCCCCTTACCTGGTACTAATACGGTTAGGATGCTGGGTGTGGCTTCCCCACCCCGTTTTCTCCTTTCTTCCCCGATACAGGAAGAAGGAAAACAAAATTGGAAGCAGTGGTCTCATCTACCTACTATTCCTTGACCCCTTCCCATCCTAATCAGTGGTGCACATGGGCATGCACCCTTCTCAATTATGTAATCATCAAAAATAAAAT